AATGGTGAAGTTTCCGCCTTGTTCACAACCGTGAATTCCAGACAAAAATAAATCTTAAACGTTGACTCAAGTAATTTTATCTTCTGCCTTTTTCGCTATATTTTTTCATCTTAAAATCTAGACTATTATCTTCAGACTTAAAAATGATCAGCACTTTTTTCAACAAAGTAACATAAATTATTTTACACACTAGAGAGTCCCTTACCTTGACTTACGACCTTCACAATTTCTGACACGCTTTTCGAGTAATTTGTTCTGAAAAACGCACACCTGATGTCGTTAATGAGGACGTCGTGCGTCCCACGTACATACAGTAGTGCTGTCATATTTTCAGCAGTGAGACGAAGTCCACATCCGAGCACTAAGATCACGAACTCTTGTTAGCGAGAGACAAAACGGTGGGTGGTGAAATTAGCGACATGAATATTTCATAATGCTTCTGATAATATTACTCCATAATACCACTGATGAATTGCCCAATGTTCTTTTAGCGTATATCGTTTCATCCTAATTGTTATCCACATGCAGAGGAAGCATGTTCAACTGAAAACTGGCAGTCTGCCTCTCAGTTATCCCCCTTGCCCAACGATCCTTCATAGATACAGTATACTATAGGTGTATCTTTAATATATATTTTGGGTGAACTAGGGTGAACTAACACGTACAGGTCAAGTAATACTAAAAGAAAAGTAAGACTAGAAGAATTGACGTTCTCTGTGTACGAAATAACTGTGGCAACAATAATCAAGTCGGAGGGCACACAGCATGCGGTCCATGGGATTACCTTTGAAATCCAAACATCCATGACAAGGGCGTGACTTACTTGGGGTAATGCAATCAAAACTGATGAGTTTGCCGGCTAGATCGAACCATCTGGTGTGAACGCGTCCACCATGACCTTATCGGGCTCTAATATCTCCGTGTTATCATCCCCTGTCTTGTCAATGATGTGTATTTTAATTAAAATGTACATCTACCTATAGAAATAAGGATAAAGATATTTTTGCTGATAGTCTAACTAAGCCTTGAGGACCCAAATAAACCCCATATATGCTTAATGACAAAATAAATTACCCTACCTACCCGTCCTTAAGTAAATATTATTGCAAAACTGTCTTTTACCGCCATAGATTGATCATTCTTAATAGCCATATGATTTTTAGGTCAAATATTTTCTTCTCTTGTTGCTAGTGGTAACTCCCGCAAATAGCGACTTTGTTTGTTAAAAACAAATTCCATACTCGATGTATTTTTGACACCAACACCGAGACTTATGATGTAGAATTCGTTGCCCGACCAGTTTGGAAATGTTTAACAGATTCAAACTTTCGAGAGTTTTTTTAAAATCAAAGCACACCTTTCTTGACAACGCAGTTCAGCTGTAGCCTTTTTTTTGTCACAGTTAACTAACAGCAAAGAGAACAGAAAGAAAGGCTTAAAGAAATCTGGTCACAAATGAGTTGCTACATGTATGACGGTCCCATTGACGATAAAAAGGCAATTTCTTGGTATCGAAATATTTTGTTTGTTTGTTAAATATGTAAACTTTCTCAGGTGATTGATTTACGTTCACCAAAAAAATTTTAAATGAAGTTCTCACGTCCCAGACAATATGTATGAAGTGATGCGGAACAATTTTATGCATTAGCGAAATAAATTAACACTATCATTAGAAATTTGAACAATTAATGTTCTGAGATAAGTGAAGCAGAAAAGGGGACACTTCTGGGAGAATACCATTAAGGGAATAGTTCGTGCTAATATATATCTGGGGGGAAGAACCTCTAACAATATTGCCAAACTCAAAATTACAGTATTCTTACACGTGTCCATATACATTTATAAAGACAAATTATAGGCCTACGTCCACTATAACCACCAATAAAAAGCCAGAGCAAAGCCAAAAACTTCACTTGCGTTTTTTTTTTATAATGAAACATAAAGAAAGTGTGGTTGTGCTTTGAGGCCTGCATGAATTAAAAAAAAAAGGTGTCAATCGTCACCATTGGGAAAGAATGAGGGTTATATTTGTGAGGCACAAAATGACATTGTTACCATTAACGACGCTCATTCACTGTCAAAATGTATCAACAAGAATTCCCCTTAAATGCACTAAATACCCAAGACGCTGTGTTTTATGTAAACATCTTAAGGTTACTGTGGGTCCTGAGGCAGGTCATTGACTCTAGATCGTTCCATTCACGAACCACATAGTAACAGGAAGTTTGTTTGTAAATTATGATTTGATATGGAGAGAGAGAGAGAGAGAGAGAGAGAGAGAGAGAGAGAGATTGCGTTAGATGCGCTGTTGAGAAGCATACAATCATTGAGATTACCACTATTTTAAAACGAAAATACATCTACCCTGCCAATAAGTTACGTTGGGCATTCGACCAACATATCAGTTACTGGTCGATTTTATGACAATGAACTTTTTGCGAATCGTATTACGTTTCTTATGTCTTCATTATGTGACAGTGCATCATCTGCATGTGTTTATAGTACGCCAGAGAGAGAGAGAGAGAGAGAGAGAGAGAGAGAGAGAGAGAGAGATGGGGGTAGAGAGGGAGAGGGCAGGAGTTACATTATACGCCCTGTAAAACGAGGCATGGGGGAGCCAAATTGCTGAGTATAAGTAAAATGAGGCATAATATATGGAGTGGTCATTTGAGATTATTGGATATCACAACAGACAAATAAATAGTATTGCCAAAAAGCGGAAAGAAGGTCAACGAAAAGGTTCCACCCGGTCTATCACTTCAATCAATCACTTCAATCAATCAATTGATCAATCAATCAATCATCCAACCAATTTTATCAATTAATTGACCATATATTTTACCTGAGTGTGTCATCCACTTTTTAAAGCAATAGGCCACTGAAGAATATCAATAACAATTTAACAAAGATCAGCAAGAAAATGTTGTAAAAAGCTGCTGAATTGCATCAGTTGAGCTTTAGTCACTACATATTTTACCGGTGTTTTTATGCAGATAACTCAACCAGCCGAAACGTATATTTTCTAGAAAGCTGTCATTTCTTTGAAATAATTAGATAATCGTCTAGGTCAGTTGTCGGGTGCGGCTGATGTGCATTGCGCCATCTGGTGACCTCTAGTGTAACATATGCTTTGTCACAATTACTACAGTGAATAACAATAAAAACGGACGTTTACCAAAACTAGGATTTCTGCAAGCCGCGACGGCATTTGATATTTTATTGTATTCGATTATATTTTACAGGATTAATTTATCATTACAGGTATATGTAGCATGGGTTTACATATGTTACTTTGACATTTATGACATTTGATTGGAATAATTATTAACTCGTTTATATCTCTTTTGCACGGAAAAGAAAATATTGAGGAATTTCCAGCTGTTGCAGGGCTACTATAATTTACAACCTGAAAAAGCTGAGTTTAAATATCACTGAAAACAATAACAGAAAAATCAGTTATCACGCTATGAGACCAACGCCAAGGTGGCAAACTTTTGAGTCCAGGGACACTTAAAACACAGCGCTGGATAAAAAAAGTTACGAGGAAGGTCAGTACTATGTAAATACAGCAATATCAAAAGCTTAAGTCCGAGACAGCGGTGATTACGGGCGCAAACTGAGTTCGCCCTGGAGATTATCAAAACCTTTTAACCGTAAACCAAGCATAAAGAGAAGGCAAGTAATTAATATAGCGCGCGTCAGTGTGTTTTCTTTTGTAATTTGGTGTATGTATTCTGTATACTGACGCGAGAAAGATAAAAACCAAGTTTTGGTTTTGATAAGAGAGAGAAGTTAGCGACACGAAAAGGTCTATATTTAGCTATGGAGATTTTACCAATAACAGTACACTTTGACGCGTGAAATCAAATGTTGACTGCTCCATGGGAGTTCACTCTACACATCAACTACATCATTTCAGAAATGTTTCAAGACCATGTTCTCAAGACATGATAGTTACAGAAAGTCAGAAAAAGTAAAGTAGTAGTTAAAGTTAATACAGCCAACTAATATAATAGCCCTGACAAGTGCATCTTGCGAAATAACCGCGACTCAGACGCTATTGACAAAAATTTAAAAGCGATAGCCGAAATTAATTGCCCAAAGTTATCGCTCTTTCTTCGCAGCGAACTGATAAATTGTGATGCACAATTAACGAAACACTGGGTAAACACTAATCAAAATAGTCTTTTATACTGTGTAATGTACCAAGACCAGAAAAACGCTACCCTGATTTTTTTTTCATTTTGAATTTGGAAATAGGGTCTATTTCTCTCAGAGAGAAAATGGAGCTGCCGGTAAGTAATGAGGTAAAAGTTGATCTAAGACTGATTGTGAGAAAAAAGATTTTTGATTCTGCCTGTTTCATAAGTAATGGATTTTGTATCCAACACTAGAAATTGAATGATGTGTTGAACCGATTAGTTATTTTAGTTGACTATGAAATACAGTTACTACATGTTTATCCAAAATATTGCCATTTATTATTGTCTTTTTATAAAAAACAGAAGCTACCCTGGTGGTCCTACATTATTTTTAACCCTTTTCACTGAAGGATGAGACACACGGGAACATTTGTAGTGAACGGTGATACCACCAAACCCAGCGACAAATATCGTCAACGCCACGAATACAGCGACTCCTACTTGTTTGAAGACTCTTCTACCATAGACACACTGGAACTACCGCAAGAGGGAGTCATGACCAAGAAAACACTTTACCGGTAAAGTTGTTAAAAGCAAAGCCAATACTTAAGCCAATACTTAAGCAGTTCACTGGATTTTAGTGGAGAAATCTTTGATAGTTTGCAAAGAAGTCAATCGTATCAAGTAGCAAATATGCTCTCTCTTAAAAAGTAAAATAGGCTAATTTATACTACTATACTGTCAAAAGCAAGGCATAAGAGAAAAGCAGCCACATCTACTTTAATAAAACGACCTTTTGGGCTGCCATTTTTTATGCAGTTAACTAAAAAAAGAGTTTAAATTCTCTCCAGGTCCACCATGACCAAGATGTTGTGCGGGTTGTACGCACTTATCATAGTGTGCTTGGCTGTTGTATTCCCAGTCACCGAGGCCTTGACACAGATAGAGAGGAACTTCAAGTATTATGTACAGGTGAGTACTTCATATGTCACAGATTACTATATTTTGGTATACAGATATGAGAGAGAGAGAGAGAGTAAGAGAGGGGTGGAGAGGTGAAGAGAGAAGGAGAGTGCGAGGGCCAGTGAGTGATAAATGCACAGTTCACAGTTCGGATGGGAAGTCTATTTACAAACGTTAATTAATGATGTCAAGTTAATGGTGAGCAAAATTATTAACAAGTGTCCCCAGAATTCAGCTTAATCGTGGTATTCTTGTTTTGCATTGTTTTTTAAATATGTTTATTTTCTTATTAACCACCCCATCTTATATAATCCTGTTATTACCACACACGTACTACAGCAATTTCTCGTTCTACCACACCAGATATTCCAGCTGTACATCTTCCTGGTCTCCCTGGTGTTCCTGCTGTACGTTCACATGTTTCTCCTCCGCCAAGGAGAGGGAGACAACTTCAACAATAACATCACGCTGTCTTCTCCCTACGTGGTCTCCGTACGCGACATCAGCCAGCCACAGCAGACGACAGCCGGCGGGGGGCGGGACGAGAGCAGTAACGTCACGGAGGAGGAGTCCCCGACGTCCTCCAGTCCCGTGAACAACCTGAGGGATGGCGTCTTGGAGACGGAGATGCTGGGGGACGTGCCGTTTACAACACATAGCGGAACGGCTGTCAATTTCTACCTGCGTCTAGGATCTATAGGTAATTCAATTAATAAAAACTAGTTCGACTGGTAAATCCTATTGAACCATACTGAGGCGGGCATTTTTCTTTGTGACTTTGCAATGAAGTATTTAATAGTGTTTCTTGTATTTTAAGGTGTAAATCAGTGCATGTATATGATAATGGTGGGTAAATGCATGCAAATTGTTAACAGTATTTTGTAATGTTATATTTTTCTATTCTCCCCAGTGTTTGGGATAGGAAGCATGATCCACAATGGTTTCCGCATTGCTCAGTACTTCCAGTTTGACCGCGTGTTGCAGTGCGAGAGCGCCCTCTATATCGTTGTCAACGCACTCCACCTTTTCTTCACGTTCTTTCAGACATTCTTCATATTCAAAAACCACTCGGTAAGATAGATTTTGTCGATATCTAACATCTTTTGGTTTAATTTCATGCCACAAAAAAGACAATTAAGAGCTAAATTATAAGGAATGCAACAATGGTACTATGAAACTAGATTTATTAACCATTGCTCTATGTTTAAGGTTATTAATAGTTTAGATAATACCCACTATCAATTTTGCCATTTTAGCTTGTGATAAAAAAGCACAAAGCCTTTGTTCGGTTTGGTCTGATTCACGTGGTGGCAAGCAACGTGAGCGTCTGGATCTCGGCCCTTGTGTACGAAATTGCCCAGGAGTACAGGTATGAAACCTACACCCAACAGACGACCGGGAAGCTCCAAGGTACCGGAAGTACCATGTTCGGTGAGTTGTCAAAAAAAAAAAAAAAAAAAAAAAGATGCCATTGTGCAAGTTTATCGAAACGAATTTGCCTGGCTATAAAAGCTGAAGACATTATTTAAAATATAGTTATTTGTACTCAGAGATAAAATACTTTGGGGCTAATTTGACTTTGTTGGCTCTATATATTCTTTTGCTAGTTTTCGGTTACTACATAAAGTAACAAGTTCAAATATTGTTTGTTATCCGGCGACACCAGCCTAACATGTTTTAAGTCTCATGTCTAACAAGCATTTTGTGTGTTCACTTTGACAGCTGTGGAAAACACATCTTTGCCGATGACAACTGCATCAGATGGCAATTGCTACACGGAGAGAACGCTGGCAGACCTGGCGGCACCGTACCTATACCCATGCACAATGCAGTACAGTTTCATTGCCGCTGCCATCGTGTACAAAATATACCATGCGGTTGGAAGATCGCCAAAGCTGAATTCTCGCTGTATCTCGCCTGATCTCGCCGATGACGCCGATGGAACATCTTGCCACAAGTCAAACCGGGGACTTTTCTTTGGAATACTAGTTGGTGTGGGGACAATTATTGCTATAAGCATGTTTTTTGTTTTCTATGAGAAACTTTCGGATAAATCTGTCTCGATATATATTTTCTACATCAGTGAGTTGTCACTTCTGTTCATCACAGGCGTCGTTCTAATTTGCGCACATTACAGAACGCGCGTGTTGCTGTTTATTGAGTTAGAGGATGATAATTTTGATGGCGTTCTTCTGACATCTGCTTTGTTTGGAGTATATGTGTACCACATGTTCATAATAATTGCCTGCATACAAAGTTTAACAAGCTTCGACATGTTTATACTGCTTTCGTTGTGCACATCAGTGCTTGAGTTTGTGCAGTCTTCGTGTCAGACACTGTTTCTACTGGACGGAATGCGAAGACGGTCTGACAACGATGATCACGTGATCAGAAAACCAGGACGAGCTCTTGTCACGTTTCTTCTCGTCTGCAACTTTGCCATGTGGTCTGTGAATACTTTTGCCGTGGAGCGGGTTCAGGATGTCAACAAATTGTACGTCGAGTTTTATTCCTATCTCCCTTGGAACATCATGGCTACCCTTACTGTTCCCATGGTGATCTTTTTTCGGTTCCTTTCTACCGTCTGCCTGTCGGATATTTGGCATCGCGCTTACACCAAGGATAAAAATTCGTAACTTTGGGATTGTAGCCTATTTGTGTTAGAGAAAGAAAATTTAATTTTGATGTAGTTGAACGTTTTAATATCAGTAGATTCTGAGAGGGGGGGGGGTATTTTATTGTAAAGAAACCTATTATCTTGTAAATATGAAACTTTGCACTGGGCGTCTTAAACAGTTGACAGATACGTATACGTGACTTGGACTCATTTTACTGGTGGATGTTAGATTACATATTTGTAAAACAGACAAAAATAGTTCTCCCGACTCCGAAGGGACTCGAACCCTCAATCTTCTGATCCGAAGTCAGACGCCTTATCCATTAGGCCACGGAGCCGACAATTTCATTGAAAATTGTTATGCGAAATCCAGGTTGATGCTTCAAACGTATTAAATGTAACGTTGAAAATAAATATTTCTAGTAGCAGAAAGTAGCAGAAACATTGTTTTGTTCATATGAGTGCGAAATCTTGTAAAATTGTTTTTCTAACCATAAAACATCTAATACAAAATCATCATCAAAAGGACGAAATAAAGAAGAAATAGTTATATTTCTTATTTTCCAATGTGAAGATGCATTTATTTTTTGGTAATAAAAGCGGGAAAATGGCACAAAAGTATATTAACTTCCATTTATTAGCTAGCATATGACGGTGTGTGTGTGTGTGAGGGGGCAGATCCAGAATACTTTTTCTTACAGTTTTCATAATTGCGACAGATTTTATATACGGATAAATGTACATGTAACAATAAACTTTAAATTCATAGTTGATATAAAAGACACGTTAATACATAAAATGGTTGAAAAGTTTATTAATGAATTTTAGTATAAACTATTCGGAAAACTAGAAAGTAGCTAATAATTACACAAATTTTCGAAAAATAACATCACACCATAGGAACCACTAATTATGTACAAATTTTCAAAGTCACGCAGGAAATTTATGAAAGAGTGGAGAAACAAGACAGTACAACATATATCACAGCCTAGTTAAAACGCGCCCAGAGATTAATTTAATTATTTCATCAAACCAATTTGGAGAGACTGAGAAAAAAATTAGACTCCTGTTTTTATATTCAATCTCCTTTAACTCAGTGACAAGCAATTTAAATATAGAACCTGGGTACAGAATATCACCGGTCAGTTCTATGTACAGACAGCGAAGGTTAAGAATGCATTTACATTTATATTAAAAAAGGTATAAATCCCTTCAACTGTGACTAAAATGTACCAATGCGGAAAGTCTTTATTGTGAAACTTCAGGTTCAGTTTGACCATATGGCGTGATTCGTTTTTTCTTTGAGTTGTACACCCGGATAGCAACCAGCACCCCTGTAACCAACAAACCAACGCAACCACACGCACCAAGGACACCACCAAAAATAACTCCAGTATGACCTGCAAAAATAAAATATCTAATCATATGAGGAACATTAATGAGCCGTGAGTTAGAGGAATACCGGAGGCAATACCTGTAAAAAATCATTTACATATAAGTCAGCCACATATAAACTATATTCATCACCAATGGTTATATCAAAAATGAGAATTTGAATGGGTTGTAACACCATCAATTTTCACGAAAACCCAAACTTTTGATTAAACATGTAAACTGACCTCATCTAAGTGACAAATACAGTGTCAAGTGCATATCAATGTTAAGTGTGGTAAATAGTTTTTGATATACAGACATGACATTAAATATGGGATATTTCAGTTTCAAAGGTATGCCTAGGTAGAAATGGGTTCGTTTTTTTAAAACTCCGATCTCATATAAGATATGTAAATGAGCAAGTGTGCAGTCAGGTGTGACACTACCAATTAACTGACTACCGTGTCTGTTGCACTGCTGCATTGTGTAATATGCAGTGATTTAAATGGGTAGTGATCCTTTGGGCTGGCCAAAGCTTGGTTTCAGAAAAGTGTGGTTCTGTCAAAAAAGTACCCATATGACGGCACTTACTGCATAGAAGATTTCGAAATTTTGCATGCGTAAAATGAACTAAGCAGTGCTTTACAAAATTGTTAAAGGGATAATAACTCTTCGTTTTGGCAAAAAAATGAATTTTCCTGGAGTAAACAACAATTTATCCACACTAACCAATGGTTAATAAATCCATTTTTACATTCAAAGTTAGTCCCTGTTTTTTTTCCTAAAAAGTTTGGTTTTTTGTTAAAATCTCTTAAAGGGATAATAACTCTTCGTTTTGGTCAAAAAATTAATTTTCCTGGAGTCAACAACAATTTTCCCGTACTTACCAATGGTTAATGAATCCATTTTTACATTCAAAGTTAGTCCCTGGTTAATTTCTAAAAAGTTTGTTTTTTGTTAAAATCTCACACATTTGTACAGTCATCGAAATGTTTCAAGTGTCATGATGAGAAGTCTTCATTCCCGATATACACTTAATTTACGAGAGGCTCACACTTGAATCTTATCAAAGCCAGAGCGAACTGGATTCTCGAATTTTTCATCTCTCCAAGGAACAAGCTCCATCAGTTACTCCTGGGCCTCATTCAATTTTTATTTCTAGTAGCTAAATGTATATTGTGCATTTTTAACAAAAGGATACAAAGTTCTTATCGGGGGAAGTCTTGATATGATTAAACTATCTTTTTGAATCGTGTTCTTTTTATATCAACTTTCGAAGTTTGTGTACATATCTTATATTCTAGAAATAAGGTTACAAAATCTGTCAATTTCAAGGTTTTTATCTCTTCGGATTTTGCAAAATAGAAAAAATCATTTTTTTTTTTGCTTTTAATTACACTAGCCTTTTTTTTTTTTTTTTTGAATTGTTTGGAAGCAAGGTCTTTCACTGGACAAAATATTGAAGAAATCTACTTTTAAAGCGTCACCCCATGATTGTGTGTCATAGACATCTACTTCTTTGAGATGGATCGAATGAACCGGTACCTTCTGCACTGGAAGTTTTTGTATTGGCACCCTCTGCACTTCTTCTATCTGTATTGGTACCTTTTGTACTGGTACCTTCTCTATTGGTACCTTCTGTAGATTCTGGAACTGAAGAGGCACTGGCTGATATGGGAGAAATTGAAGACGATCTCTTAGGACACAGAGGAGGTGCTGAAACGAGATACAAATTTCAGATCAAATACTAACGTTTTTAATTTTGTACGTAAAATGTTTTTCTCGATTTTACTTCATTTCCATATTCATCATTTTGTTTTTTCGAAACGCTGATAAATTTATAAAACCTAACACTTCAGAAAACCAGAATCTACACCTGTGTAATGCTGTTACTTTATGTTTACTTTGATGACCAACTTCTGAAGAGGGAAATTTATTGCAAATTTTGTCCGCAATGTTAGTTAACAAAAGAATTTACCCATCATTTGTTGTTATAAGCAACATTGATATCAGGGAACAAGGCACGTTGAAATACGGTGTCGAAGGCATAGCTTTAACAGCCCCTCGTGTCATTGTTGAAATCTTTTAAAAGATATTAACTTGACTGAAACATACCATTGACACCTGTTTCTATTATGTGTTCACCAATTGACCTCGAATCAATGTTTTTAAGTTTCTGGAAACTGTCCACCGTGTACAAATGGCTGTCGTCTGGATCGCTTGCCATAAACTCCAGCTCGGTCTTATTAGTGGAGTTGCCGATTCCAAGAACGAAAATTTCGATGCTTTGGTCTCTTGTTTTAATTACTTCCTTTCTTGTTTCAGACGGGTTTGCCGAAACTCCCGCCATTATGACGACAGCGATTTTTGGAACACACTCTCTCCCCCCGTGCGGGTGAGAATGGTTGAAATATTCTCTCACCCTTTTGAACCCTAAATGGGTATTTGTCTCTGTGCCGCAACAGTGTGTATGGAAGTTCTTCGTGAAGTGCAGCACATTTCCTTTACTTATGCCACTTTCTAAAAAAAGCTCATCTTTTTCACTGTCTGAAAAAAGAATAATGCCCACCCTGACGCCGTCTTGACTGATATTATTGAAGGAGGTGTTCACCATCTTCATCATGAACTTTATAACTGTCTTTGAGCCATTTTTTCCCATGCTGCCAGATATATCCACAAGGAAAACAATGTCCACCACTATTAAACATAAAAGAAAGACATTTATTTCAAAACATTAATTTGCAGTTTTCTTAAATTAAACTACACTTTACTTTGTTTTATAAGATGACGTAATTACATGAACAGTGCACTGTTTATTTACGTTTGAAGATGTTGGACGCAAAGTTAATAATTTCGTTGTAGCGTATAATACTACGCTGTTTTTTTTTTTTTTCGTGTACACTCTGTTTTGGTCACAATTTACCATCTACTATATTGAATATATATATATATATATATATATTTTTTTTTTTTTCAATAATTTCAATTTGGTAAAAAAAATAAAGAACAAAAATTCTCTTACTATTTGTCGCGAAACTTTGCAAAATGCATAATAAGAACAGCATACGCAATGTCCCCATATCCATTTTGTTATATTCTCTGCTGTGTAGAATGCACAAGTAGCGTCGTCAATAGCGGTTAACGTCTGCCACTAGATATTTTTCATTTCATCTTCATTTGGTGTAATTTTGACGTGAATGCACCAACAGTGTCTTGAAATCTACGTGCATCACTCTCAACTCTGTATGTCCGAAAACTGGTTTGTGAAATACTTCCTGCTTTGATTTTAAGCTAAAGCAAACACCAAATGATAAGCTGTGCACATACGTTTAACGTTTTTATAGCACATTCCAAAATTAATTGTCGAACAAATGATAATAAACAACGAACTCAGTAATGAATATAAACGACCCTTTAATAAATTGTTTAACAAATGTTATCATAAATGCCTATTTCATCATTAAATAGAAGTTCTTGTAATGCAACCATTCGAGGTAGCCTAAAGATGCATGTACGAGACTACAAAAGTGGGAAGATCCGCGTGTAATGAGGTTAAATTTTCAGTGATTCGGGGATGTCGCTTCATACAGCAAAAGTGACTTGCAAAATGTAGAGAATTTCATTGTGCAATGGGAATTTTTTTCTTAATACCGCGAGAGAAAACACTGGGATGAGATTCCTTTTTATATTATTAAATTTGATTTGCAATTCAGTTTATTGAACATAACCCTTTAATTGGATGGTATTAAATAAAAATGGTATCCTAATTCTACGGTCTCACTAGTAGCACGGTCTACGGTAGCATTGTGCCCAAACTGTTAGAACTCAGCACGCATTATGTCAATATAAGACACACATGTCAAACCAAGTATGACATATTGTACCGGAATCCCCGTATTGTTATAAATGTTCGCTTTCCTGTATAAAAACGTCGGTGAGCCCATATTTTACGACAATAACCAAACATGTCACGCCCAGCACCCAACCTGAAGATTGTCCTCTATATCATATGCTGTGTAATTTGTGCCAGAACACATAGCTGTCTCGTCATTAATTGTTCATTATATAGCGATTTGGTTAAAAGGAAATGCGATATTTTCATGAAAAGATCTATTTTAAAAGCCCTTATAATTGAAGACCTAACAAGAAATAACTTGTGTTTTTGTTTATCCAATTTACTGTGTACTGTTACAGTATTCAGATATGCCTGTTTATTAACTGTTAAATAATATTTTCTTTGTCACTGGAACAAAATGCTACAGTTGTTCCATAATACAAGATTGTGTTTTGACTAAACACGCATGGTTTCTTTTGCAGTGCATGTCAATCTAGATGTTTCATCCTTAAAAATTGCATATTTTATGTATAAAGCTGGAAATAATGGCTACTATAGAGAAGAACCAAATACATATTCCATATTAACTTCGCGATTGCAATGTTCTTACAAACACATGCACTACCGACCCAGGATTGTACGCATTACTCTGAATGAATGTCTAAATGGCCACTTAAGAATTAGGACTTTTTCAGGAACACGTAGGTAGGAATAATTTTTCCAGTTCCCGTCTTTCTACACCTCCACCAATGTGTAAATTCCAAGGTATCACAAATACAATGTAAAACAAAGCGGCTCGTTTATTGCTCTTCCGACTAATAGCCATAAAGCACGTGTGGAATAAATGTTTACATACAGTCCATTGACTCTGATTGGTTCTGTAAAATGTGCGTCCAAATGTTAGAGCATTGCGCTACCCTTCTTTCACTCAAACGGTCTACGTATACGTTCTGTAGAGATTGTTGTAAAAATTTTATTAGGAGCTAAAAACGATATCATCTGATAATGGGTGTGCGGCCGTTTTTATCACGTAAGGCCGCATTCATAACACTGGACCACCTAGATCGCAGATCAAATATGGCCGTCCCGCTTGAATGCTTGTTGCGTAATTCCCACTGGAATTCAATGTCTTTTAGGGGATTAGACGGCAAGCTCTGAAGTGGGTTGCCATATTTGTTCTGCGGACTTCTTAGTGCGCTGTTATGCACCGAAAAGGCCTCACAGCGTACAAGAAAGCCGGGTTAAAGGGATAATAACTCTTCGTATGAGATCTATATTTCGCAATAAAAACATTGTGAATAACTTGTAGAAATATAATATATTCTGTTTTACCACAAAAACGGCAGTTATAGCTATTATTCTGATATCTGAGCTTGTCTTTAGACCATGTGACCTCCATTGATGGCTATACTCTGTTATAATCACTTAAGAGATTTTAACAAAAAACCAAACTTTTTAGAAAAAAACCAGGGACTAACTTTGAATGTAAAATGGATTCATTAACCATAGGTAAGTATGGGAAAATTGTTGTTTACTCCAGGAAAATTCATTTTTGGCAGAAACGAAGAGTTATTATCCCTTTAAGGTGTGCACTCCAGAGGTCCCACGGTAATGTACACCTGCTCGACGCTTTTCCCTGTGTCCCCGATCATGACTGCAGAGATTGGAAGATGCTCTTTTGCTGTCAAGTATCCTTCATCTGTTCTCCAACGGTTATCGTTGGCGTCACAGTTGCAGGGTTCGCCTGGAAGACACAAAGGCTACATATGTATATATATTTTTGGGGGGGTGATAATGATTTAATTGGCATGGTATACAACAATTTATTAATATACCTCCAGTACATTAATAATAATAATAATAATAATAATAATAATAATAAATTCATATTAAGTCTGAAATCCAGTTTAAATGTTTAGTAGATTTTACATAAAAACAAGAACTTAAGAATACAATAAGCAAGATATATAAAAATGAATAATAATTAAGAGAAATTAAGTTTCTCGATAAAAAAAAACACATATTCACATAAAACCAAGAACTTGTTAGATTATCAATAATAGAGATATATTAATTTTCCGAGAAAGGAAGATTTTAGTCATTTCTTTTTTATAGACGGTGTATTTATAATGCTATTAAAAAAGATACCGGAGACTGTTTTAGATTTTTCATGGTAACTGATTACATCGCATGTTAATATTTTAAAAAAGCACATTTCAACCAGCCATACCCAATGCACAGGTGTCAGAAAGAGCGCATGCGCAGCCCCTGGTGACGGTAGTCCCGTTGCCCGCCCAATACTCCAACTGTTCTCCTTCAAGTGTGGTCCAAAAGTCACATTTTGTTCCATAGTAAAAGGTGCAAGCATTGTAGCATTCCTTTTTAACGTACTGTCTGCATGTGGATGAAGCAGTGGCCAAAGCGCGAAGCTGGGGGTTAGTTACACCTGGCCAGGAAGAAAATGAAATTTATATGACATATTTGGGGTCACTTTGAGATACAATTACTGATGGACAAAAGCAACGGGGGATCCAGAGGGGTACTTGCCCTTCCTAAAGCTTCTGAGACACGTGTACCCCCTTTAAGATTAGAAAGCATGGCATAGGAAACGAGAAAAACAAGCAATGTACCATCCCTGACCTACCTGTAGCTGCACTGTTGTGAGAAAACTCTGCTCATGTATAAATCTGAATATAGGAATAACAATAAGAAAATAAGAAACCTCGGCTAAATGATCTGATTGAATGCGCATTTCACTGTACACACGAGCTGTAAAAACTATAAGTCAAACCAACTGAGAACACTATTTACAAGGAAAACCACCTGGCATGTGGTTCCGTATGAAACCATGCATTGAATTCTGCCATCTCACCGTTGTAAACGAGCTGATGTTCGTAAAAATTTGGGTCCTCATATCCAACAATGTGCTTCCTAGTGATTTGGTTGTGGTTCACCCTGACTGTAGGTGGCGTGGTTGCCATGTCGCATTCCACTGGGAAAGGTGTCACCCCTCCGGGGCCGTCTGGGTCCACAATATAGGTACCACTTGGAGACTGCAATTGCTTGTTTTTCCAGTCCGCACAGGATGATTTAGCTTTAAAAAAAGTGATGTCGAATATATTTAATAGTTGAAATTTATACATTCTCATAAATCAAATACTCGCATTATCACTCCAAGCCAAACGCTCCTGGATCGAGAGATATACAGATAGATAGACATAAACAATAAAGTGTTTGTCAGCTTGGCAGTCAGAGCCCATGGCCTTTTTAGACTATAGTTAAGAACTTCATATCTACCTATTCATTTATCTATCCATCCATCAATCCTCTTATGGCAGGATGTCTTTTACTCTGGTTTAACAATGAAAATACATGGTCATAAATAAGTATACAATACGCAATGCATGGTACCACTTCGATTCATCATCTTATTTAATTAAGAACAGATCTAGTCAAATACCTTGCAAAATGAGAAACACCCAGTCAGAATCCACTGATGTCGCTTCGTTGTGTCCCGGTAATGCCTCACAGGTTCCGTCAGATTCTTTGAAGTTAAGTGACTTACAAGTTGCGCTGTTCAATTCGCAATGAATCAAACAATCCTCCAGTGTCGGGCTGTGAAAAAGATTCACGTTAGTGCTCTGTGCGCGTATGCCTTGCGTTTTCTTGTAAACATTGTTGAGTCTTTGCCCAAACGTTTGACAGAGAAAACAGAACAACAGCAACTCGGTGGCGTGACACACCATTGCAAAAATAGCTTTGGTGGGTTGGAATAGTTTGGAATCGATCATTTAAAGTGTGACCGCCCTCGTGAGCATGATGAATGGTGGATAACAAGGTTTTCATTGTACAAGCAATCCAATTGACAGACTAAATGGGTTTCCTTCCTGTCCAAGATTTTGCTAAGCTGTCATTAACTAGTTCTACCTCTGCCAATTTGTCCTCACTTGTTTCCTTATCGAATCACTCTGAATTAATATAAGTAGTGGACAACAATCAATCAAAGACCACTTTAGAATTCATAACACCATTACTGCTATTGTTAGTGGTTCGTCTTGACTGGCTCAAACAGGTATGCATCAATTTCTCCTTCACAGGTGATTCATTATAATAGTAAGAGTCCACCCCCTAGCAACATGTGGAATGTGAAGTCTACTGGATGGTTAGAACTTACAAATCACATCTGTTGCTATTTGGGCAAGGATAAGCTATTTCTTGGACTTCAAAATGGCCGCCAATTACCGTCAACAAGTAAGGATTCATTAAATTTATTATTCTATAGTATCATGAAGAGGTAATGGAAAATCTGTAAGATGAAGTGTTGTTAATTAAGTTCAACTATTACAGTGTTACCTGATTAGGCAATTGCAATAATTTGATTGATAGCTAATAACGGAGAGTAATGGAAAATTGATAATTAATAGACATTATGTAAGAGCCCAAAAGATCACACCATTATCAAATAAGGGAATGTTAATAGATTGACCAATAGCTTAGAGTGGAAAGTTGTGAGAATTTTTGAGATTCCAGAGAATCTGCGTGATTCATCATGATATTGGAATGTGACACCATACTTTAAAAAGGAGAGTCTTACGGTGGAACAATGAGAACAAGAGGATACATCTAATGGGCACCGGGAGAATGTATGTTCTCCCTTACTATCTGAAAATAGTAAAGTAACGTAACCATATTTTGGTACAGCTTACCATACATGGTTTTGAAGGTAGAACATGACATGAAAACCTTTCTTGCCACTTAACACGTTTTTATTTTCTTTTGCGTTACGTCTGTTGTTCTTATTGAAGAGAAATTCGTGCTACAATCATAGGTGTCATAGAACATATCATGTGTTTAGTGGCTGATCCAGTGGACGGCGGGCAGGTGCCCCTCCATTAGCCTCTGAGGCATACCATTCTTCCCCTTTCATTATGAGTCTTCCCCAGTTTGCTCTTCCTCTGAGGAGCAACATTTGCATCCTCTCTCTCTCTCTCTCACGCTTTAGATCTGTAACAGTCAGTGCTTTTGTCACTTTGAACGTGTTTTCAGTTTGTCGTTGCAAGTTTCAGAAAAGCAAGTTTGGCGGTTACCATTGTTTTAATAATATATTGCTTTGTCACTCAAGGACAACAAAAAATCTTAACCTTCATTTTGTTTTTTAATCAAAATTTGGCATTTTCAGTGCGTAAAGTTAGCTTATCATTTGTTATATGGGAGGCGGTGATGTACATTTTTATTTTCCTCTTTCCTAACTCAATCTTAATGATTTTCAGTGGGCGAGTAGGGTTTTGTGGTAAAACTGTAATGCGTAAAATAATCCCTGCTGTTGCGACAAATTAGCATTGTTAAGGGAATAAAAGTTATTGTTACGGAATTAAGGCAGAAAAATAACAGAATCGATAAACGCCAACAAAGAGTTGAATATTATAAAGCGCAAGCCGTTATTAACCACTTTTTTCTTTTCTAACGCGTAACTATGCGATTTCCGTCATATGAACTCGGGCGTATTATGAACGTTTTTTCAATGCATTTCCCCATTGGTACATTGTGACTTTCAGAATAGACTACCTCTTTTCATACTTATCCAGGAAACACTTACAACCTACCTACAGTATATGTCAGTATACCCATTTCTTGAATTAAACCCGGTCCAGATGATATTTTCCCATTTTCGGAACGTTTTGGATAGGGTATATCTTGGAGTTAAAGTCTTGGAGTTTAAGTCCCATAAAAATTAATTTTTTGTTGTATAAATATCTAACACACACTGACTGTATTTAACAGTATCAATAGTTTTAGTTTGGATCTTCATTCGAATCTAAGCTTTTCAAAAAGGAAATATGTTTTGTGAAAAATTTTAAAACCTTTATCATTTCGATACTTTTATCTATATCTCTTAAGCTTTAAGTTTTCATAAAATTTTTAATGTTTTTTGTAGTTTTAGATTTTATATTTAAACGGCGCTGTGACATATGCTCCGCTGTTTTGAGAAATAGATTATTCTTATTATTAATTTTTGGAGACAAGAGACTTCAGAGGAAATGTATGTTTCAAGCGCACTGCATTTTTATTGTCTTTTAATAAGATACAAGTGTATAAATATATATTTTATAAAAACATGTTTAAACATTCTGATGTACTTGTAATGTAGAAAAATATACAAATGACTTGTAAGCTAAACGTTGTTGCTATGACAACACTTATAGCAATACTTCATCTGTCTGGAGACGTGGTCTCAGTTTGTGACACATTCGCGTTGCTGCAAGCGCCGCTTATCTGTCTGTAACGCATTTAGAGGAATCATGCTGCGCGGTCGTCAGTTGGCGGTAATGACGTCATAAGTCGCAAAGGCCTTCCGGCCAAATACGTATCACTCTGTCGTTATTCACTTTCCAACATCATAGACTGTGCTTTTGTTCATCCTCCTCATTGCCAGACATCATTAAGGCACTTGCTGCATCAATGCGTCTTAATGTCTATAGAACATAGTTATCACAGCGATGCATAAGATAATATAGTCTTTTATAACCAGAAGGCAATTTCAATTTGTCAGATGAGAAAAAGTGTCACTAACACTTAAAGTTGTCCTTGACTAAAACGTCCACGGTTTGGTATGTTTGGCAATGAGAAAAAGTTAAATCGCATAATCTTCTAACAATATAGAAACGCATTAGGCATAAATTTGAGGAAGTGTACTGTTGAATGGAATGGAAAAAGGCGAGTTCAGGCGATAGATCACCAAATTACCGTAACAATGCAGCAATCAGCGAAATAAATAGTAGAGTGCATGAGATGAAAATCGATTCAGCTCCACTGTCCGAGCAGGAGTTGCTGCCGAGATCTTCTCCGATGTTGCAGTCGGTGGTAGAGCAGCATTTGGCGTTAAAACGGCAGATCGCCGCGCCGGCCGTGGACACAGACATACCGCTTGTAGTCGTGTAATCGCTGCAGGTTGCTCCCGTGGTCAGTCCCATGTAAGTCTTGACATCATCGGCGCAGCCAAAGGCATACCCGTCTGTGCCGTTACTCGTGTAATAGTGAACGAACTGCAAATAAAAAATAGTTCATGATCAGTTGATTTTGTGATGGCAGTGTAATCAAAATGCAAAATGCTATGTTTTTTTAAAACCATATATGCGGGAACACGGCCCTTATAATTTTTTAAAAACCGGAAACTTTTTTAGTTTACTTGAACAACAATAACATCGACGCAGAAAACGTCGAGGTTTTTCTGAATGAAAACACCCCCTTAAAAGACTAAACAAATACTTACAAAGCAGTCACTGCTTGCACAAGTAGTGGTGTTCAGGTTACTTGTCACTTTACAGTCCACTCCAGTGCCTGGGTCGCAGGATTTACAGCTAACACCTCCCTGTAAGAAAGAACATGGCATCGTTAGTGTGCTGTGTGAATTGTACTCTTCTTATAATGTATCCTCGTTGTCATTATTCATTAATATATAACCTGTTTTAAAATCTGTCTTGTACAAAGTGTAATAACAAAATACATGTGTGTAACCATCAACAAAAAACGAGATTAGATAATTTTTTCGGCCAATTTCGCGTGATTTTGCGACCTGCCTAAAAACCGAATGTGAATAAATGAACTGATATTTAACAATAGGATGGAATGAAAAGGACAAATTATGTCATTTTCATGTCACACTTTTATGTCACATCTTTTCACGTATATTTTTGTTTTGGGGAAATAATAACAATGAATACGTACAGAAGAAGAGGCAGATGAGCTCGATGAACTGGCAGCAGAGGTGGCCGTATTGGTCACGGTGGTAGCAGCACCACCGCCCGCTGATGATGCAGCAGCAGCTGATGTAGTGGCTGCAGCAGCACTGGCTGAGGACGTCGCTGCGGCATTCGCGGATGAGGATGCGCCAGCGCTGGATGCTGCAACTGCTGACGATGAAGCTGCAGCTGATGAGGAGGCGGCAGCAGCAGATGACGAAGCGGCCGCCGAGGAGGAAGCGGCGGCAGAGGAGGCGGCGGCGGACGCACTTGATGCGGCTGCTGAAGATGATGCGGCTGCTGAAGATGATGCGGCGGCGCTGTTAGAACTTGCAGAGGCAGCAGCAGAAGAAGAAGCACTGGAAGATTGTGACCTGACGTCACGGGTGAGAAGGACGACACAGAGCGTCAATAACAGGACCTTCATCATGTTTGTAGTGCTGCGAAAATAAAATGAGGACACGTTATGGACATCAAGTTGTTTGCTTAAAGCATAAACACAAAAGTCTGTTTCTTAGTCTCTCTATCTCTCAGTAAATAATCATAAAAGTACGAGGTAATGTAAATTGTCATGAAGTATTAAAACTTACAAACTTGCTAAAGCTTTATTTACTCAATCACAAAATTACATTATTAAAAGCTTAAGGCGATAAATGCTTTATTATGGTGTTTAGCCCCAAAAAGTGTTATTCTGTAGTTTCACATTACTGTAGCTAGGTTTCCAATGTATTGATTTCTCTTCCTGATTTCTTTTCTTAATTTTGTCTCCTACGTCGTTAGGTTGATTTTTATTCTCACACTTCACTATGACAACGTTTTTGATGTTAAGATCAATATATCGATAACAAAAGCTGTAGCAAATACCTTGGTCACGAATACAAAGTTGCTAAGACGTTTTGATCAATTAACCTATGATTTATTGATCTGATCAAGGCAAGGTTTTCATTAGCCATTAAGTTTTCGTAGGGAAAAAAAAAGCGAAGAAGCTTTCCAGAAATGTTTCAATTTACTTTTAATTGTGAACCATAAAATTGTGAGCCAAAAAAAAAAGTTTTGCAGAGGATGGCTTAAGAATTGTATAACGGATACTTCACAAAGTACCGTCTTCTTTGGGTCTATTTTCTTGACAAGTGGTTGATTGAACGTTTCAATTTGATGCGGCGCTTTAGCAATTTCATTTGAATGTTCTGAACAAACGCTTAATGTTTAATTGGGAGTGACCGAGTTAACGTTTTAAAACGCTGACCACTGACAGCCAAATTGGATATAAAAAGCATGTTTAAATACACGATAAGCTGTTTAAAGAGATATTAAGCTTAACATAATTGCAATAAACATCTATTCAGAAACTGAGAATTACTTACCACGGTTAGCAAACTTGGAGCAATTCTCTTGTGCTATTTCTATCTTTTTCTTTAAGTGCACTGGTTTGGTGACAGCAAATAAGTATATCTGTTGCTCCTAGCTGTTTCTTCTTGTAAAACGTCTCTAGTTGTGCCACCGGAGCGCGGATATGCTCTTATAAACGACACAGGTGAGTTTGTTTTGGATATTGTTTCCATGCCATCAAATAAGTTTGTATTGTCAGCCTCTACCGCCAAGGAGAGCCCATAACACGGGGTATAATATGGATTAAGTGTGCTGCATCTTTAATAATTCATGTCTATAATCGATACCGCCACGCTATTGTGACATTTACTTGTATGCTGATCGACAACAGGTGGATCAATGATCGAACAAGGGGAAATAATCGCTTATGATTTGCGACTTTGGGCGACAAAGTAAATCTTTTACCGAAGTGGCTTGTTAAAACAATGGCCGGGATCTCGTGGACACGACTGAAAATGTTCTAAAACAATTATATTACGTGTATCAAATATATAGGCCAGTGCTATATAATATTTTCTGATTGTAATAAATACGAAACCTGTTGCACCTGGTTGCTCCCTGTAAGCACCTGGGGGCATTTTATGTCACTCCATCCATCATCTTCACACTCTAATGGTAAACATGTAGATAGAATTGACAAGCTGAAGTTGCTGAAGGTCTGCTTAGATAAATGTCAAAACCGAAATAAATTATGTAATTCGTAAATGACTGTATTCCAATGTTTAGTTTTATGACAAAAGCACTGCGTGGTGAACGGAAAAGATTAAATTCTCTAGACTTCTTTCTGATCAATATTTTAACATTTTTTTTACTTATTTCTTCATTATGATATATGTTACATAATTATGTGCATATTTATGACATGTAAATAATATGATTAATGTATTTCACATATATATAAATTTCCTGAGAATTAAGATAATAATCGGTCCTCTCTATAGGACATTTTGCGAATAAAAAGCACATTTTGTAGGCAAATTTTAATGCGCTTTTTAGGACCTTTAGGATAAAGAAAATAACCGTTTATGTAGCCAAGTGCTTCTGGTATTACTAAACATGACTCCATTCAAATGTGGGCCTGGCACCTTATATTTTGAAGTTAGAATGTTAAAATAGAAACCATTTGCAAAATCCTCTGTCAATTTACACTTATCCTCAAGAGCAGATCGGGACGTCAAAGGTTAAATCGAACTCTCATGGTTTTGTGATACAAGCAAATACAGGTGCGTTTAGCAGGGGTATACAAACCCCTACCTAGGCTTTTGTTGTATTCAGTAAACCTACAAAATATTTCAAAATATTTCTCTACTCGCTCCCGGCTTCATTACTAGGCCAACCAATTCGATATTATCAATATGTCTATTGTTACAGTTTCGTCAATTAGCAGATCAGTATGCAAAAAGAGCAGAAGAAATGATCAATCAATATTCACTATAGTAAAAGGGACTTTGTATTGCGGTCTTTCAGCATTCGTTGTGATGTAATCGATAAATGGGCAACAACAACAGTAGTAAGAAAGATCAATCGACCAGTGCATGGAAACGAAAATATTTCATTACAACCCCAAAGAATACAATATTAATGTATTAACTGCCGTTACTCTTGCAGTAGGGCCTGAGTTTGAGGCGATTTCCTTTCTAAATATTGTGATTGAGGTTCTTGTGTCTACGGGTTAGCTGTTGACAGTAACAAGGATAATTTATTACATTTGGTTGAATGGGAATAAAGCCGAACAAGGCAATTACAATATGAAATGAATTGCCACTTCAAATGTATAGCCGATCTGAGACATTTGGTAGCCTTCAAGTTAATCACAAGTGGTCGGTAAATTTGGTGTCGGAAAAAACAAGCCGGTTGAAGCTGGTTTTTGGATGATAAAGGGTTCACCAAGCCAAAATGATAAAACTTTTGAACTTGACTTGTATTTTAAAGCAATGACAAAATTCCCGCGACCCCCCCCTCCCCCCAGGTGATAGCGGTAAGATAAGAAGAAATGCGAAAACTGCGCAGTCGACGGCCATATGCATAGACACTGCTGCAATTTTGTCTGTACATAAAAATTCCACGGTTATCAGTTTAGGGGCTTTTAAAGGTCATTTGGCATATTCTTTATTTTATCTTCTTTCTTAATGGTTTTGAGTCAGGCTGCGACTTTTCTAACACAAGCTACATATAGTTCTATAGTGGCCAGTGAATAGAGAAGCTATAATTACAGGCTTCGATGTTGATTATTTAGCATTTCGTTACTTCAGAAACACGTTACCAAGTGCAGAGATATCTTCGCCTCTTGTTTATTGCACAGCTCCTGACATTTTAATAAATATTTTATTGAGAAGTAAACAGCAGAGAAACATTATGAGAACTTTGCGACCAGAACAATGGTCTAAGATTTATAGATATGCCAATATCAGAGACTCAGTATTCAAAAGTGCTTGCACAACTTTAATTCATTGTAACATTTTCATTTTTATTTTATTTTTGTTTTCAATAAATATTTGAGCAGAAATCCGCTCTTGCCATTAGCCTGAGATATATTTTCCCACGGGAGCGCAAAATTTACCCCGATCCCGAACAAACGTCCCGGCCTCGGTAGCGCCAGAGAGGGCACGCGTTTCAATATCTTCGTCATTTGTTATTGCACAGGTCCTGACATTTTAATAAATAATATATTGAGAAGATTGAGAAGTAAACAGTAGTAACTATAGCCGCGTAAATTGAATAATACCATTAACAATAAATGACGAAGTATATTGGAAGTGGCTTTGTCGATCTCTTAAGTCAGCATGCATGCAATCAAGGGTGTACAACATTTCGGTCGTCGTTTGAAAATCGATACGAGACGTAATTGTTCCAAAATCTGGCGACATATATTTTTGATGTTTTATAGATTTCATCACAATGTGGAGGGCTGCGTGTAGTGTTACTGTACCAATATTTGTTCTATTTCTTTATTCAGAAGGTGAAAGTTCAGTTGAACCCCGAGCCTCAGTGGAAGGTCACGCTTTGAATCGTTTTGTCAAATCCTGTTGTAATTCTTTAATTAAAAAAAAAAATAATAATAAGCTTGTAACCCTCTAACAGGGTCGCAGATTGATTTTTTCAATAAATATTCACAGACCCTGAAGGAAGGTATAGATTTTGGCGAAGTCCAAAGTTGTGCAATTTCCGTGTAGTTTAATTTGGTTTAATAAAAGGTCTGCATAGTTACAGTGTACAAGGTCGGTTTATTATTAGCATCAAATTCTTATAAAACGCGTCAAGTAATAAGAATTTTGAGCGAAGCATAGCCAAAAAGAATCAGAGCTCCGTTTTGTGTACGAGAGACGGACCACGCATACGCCATGTATTTCACAATTCAGATACTACCTATCGTAATATCCCAACCAATACAGTGCAATTATGATGGAAATAGAAAACTGCTACTTCCGTCCGTACCTATCTTCAACAAAACATCGCCACTTATAAAGAACTAACATATCAAATCATGAAAGCTTATTTTGAAATTTAAAAAAGTATTTTATCCTCTCATATATATATATATATATAAATATACAATATTTATTCATACACATAAAAAGTTTAATACAATTAAAGACAAAGGACTTTCATTTTGTCATTTTGGCTACTACCTTTCAAACAGACGAAAAGAAGTGACTGATAGACAGCAGTAGAATCTGTCTTGCTGTTGTTAAAAATGACAAACTGAGGACAATACCCCCCCCCCCAAGTGATGAAGAGCAAAGCCTTGTTGATTTGATCGACTTCAGAGCAATGAACTAGACAACTTGACTAGTTAGTTTTGATTTCACCTTCTGACTATCACTTAATTTACAGAAAATAAGAGAATGAGAATTAAGTAAGCATTGCGGATACGTTTTATCTTTTCATCACCTCGACAGCTTCTGTAACAGAGTTTTATTTATTCTACCAGAACATTTTTGTCCTAATTCTACTACTTCACGTTTTAGGCAGAGTCCCAACATGTATTCCTTGCTGTGCAAGCAGCTGTACAATATCAGAAGACAGCTGAACAGTCTGTGGCTCCACGGTATCTTCCCCGTTCTCATCATGGTGGATAGTGATATTCTCCCCGGACTGCTGCTGTAGTAGAGCCCCCTCCTCCTCCTCGTTGGCAGACTCCCCTGACGTACTGGCCTCCACTCCCTGTGTTAACAACTGCTGTATTATCCCAGACTGTGAGGGTTGTATGTAAAGAGTGGTGTAATTCACACCTCCGATGTTCTGAGTTTCTATCAGGTGCTCCTGGGGTTCCTGAGAGGACTGAGACTCTGTCTCTGATGGCAGACTGGACCCCTGCAGGAAGGAACTGATGCTGACATTGGCCCCCACTGCAGAGAGATAGTCTGGCAGGGTGACCACAGTCTGGTTACTAGCAATGGAACCACCTATCTGGCTGTGGGTCTGCCCCTGCATCAGTTGAGATGATTGCAGTTGTTGAGCCTGCTGTGATATTGTGTTAGGTGAGACTGGTGCAGCATAGCTAGCACTGGCACTGACCCTGCTCTGCCTGCCTTCTCTCTGGTCTGTCAGGAGAGTTTGTGCCGAGTTGGTAGTGACTGGCTCTGAGCTGCCCTGGCCTAAGTTGAGCAGGATTGTCTGTGCACTGATATTCTGGAAACAGAGAGAGGCAGAAGTAGAATGAGTTGAGGCTTAGAAATGGTGGTTCTATTGAGTAAAAATACTAGTTGTGATTAGGGAAAGGTTGGAATAAAGTGTTATGGGTCATACATTTTTCTCGTCATTTTCACAAGTCTACAAAACTGAGGGTAGAGAGGGTTACTGTCTTCAGTACGCTTTTGAAAAATAATGAAAATGAAGACCCAAATTGCTGTCAAAGGTCATCAATTTTATCTTTTTCCCTAAAACTCTCTGAAGGAGGGGGAGGGAGAGAGGAGAAAAAGCCTCTTTGTAACTTGACACACAGGTTTTATAACAAGTTTTTTAGCATTACTTTCATTAGTAACACGATTGACAGACAGCAGTGCCATTTGTCTTGACTCATTCTGAAAACCAACTATTTGCGATATTATAAAATCTCCTAAGAAGCCCGATTTCATGTTATAAGCACAAGAACACATCTCACCTGTGGGTTACCCTCTGTAGGCTGCTGTATCACCTGCTGCTGTAACAACTGCTGATTCAGCACATTTTGCTGCTGCTGGAGCTGTAACTGCTGCTGGTGAATCTGCTTCTTCAGCTGAAGGAGCTGCTGTCTCTGACTTTCCAACTGTATCTGAAACATACAGAGATGTTATATGGTCAAAAACTATTAGCAAAAGTCAATTATGTCATCAGACTATTTCCAGTAATATGTTGATAGTTGTGTTACAGCCTCATCATAAAATTGATAAATTTCACCTTAGTTCCCCAACGTCATCATAAAGTAAGGGTTTTACATCGATTTATATCTATTGAATTCAGAATATGGGACAGTGACCAATAAACAACATCTTTCAATCTGGTCTCTTACAGCATTAGTGACCTGTTCATCCTCCTGTGAGAGCACAGTGACCAGGGAGTTCTCCCCTCCAAACTGGTGCAGTATGGACTGTGCTGGGTTCTCATTGGATCCTGATCCTGAGGCAAACAGGTTCACCACCTGTAGAGGGCGCTCTGGCTGCTGGGCTGGACCACTTTCATCTGGCAAAAGAAAAATAAGTTTATACTTTCGCTTTTTTAACACGATTAATTTACATTTTTCTAGATTTGGAAATAGTACAGTGAGTAAAACTGCAGTTTTGTAATGTTTTAAAAAACAGTTTAAAATTCTAAATAAAGAAAATATTTTTCTTTTTTTTACAAATAGATCATTTTAATTATCAATATCTTATATTTCATTCTGATATCTTATATTTTCAGTCTCCAGTTTTCTAAAACATCTCTACAGACACAACTTCTCCATTTCACCAAATCTGGACAAAGTTTAAAAACTTCTTACTGATTTTTGCAACTTGTTTTTTCTTCTTGGGGTGATTCTTCCAGTACTTCTTCAGGCCATGTTCAGGTGGATCTCTGTCCCCTCCAGTCTGTTTCATCTGTTCATTGACCTTGTTCATCGTGCCATTGCTACAGCCAGTTACTAGTTGGATGAACTTATAGCAGTTGGTACGATACCCACCTAAAAATAGGAATTAACCACATTACATTAACTTCTATAATTATATTAACATACACAAATTCTCGGCATATGAATGCTAGCAAAAATAAAAATGAAAATGTGGAATTCATGTGTATCATTTAGATAAAGAGATGGATTTGTAGCAGTTGCTCCCAGAAAAAACCAATTTTCCCCTTACATGTATACAAAAGATGGACTTTCAGGGTAACCTATGTGAAGTAATAATAAGCTTGCAAACTAGACAATTTGGCTGCAATGACACCAGCAGGTTTTTTTTTAAATCAAAACTTCCCCACAGCAGTCTCAGGAAATGGTGAAGGTTACAATTAGCAAGATAGCTTCTAAAATATCTGAGGTTAGCCAGTGATTTGATTATATCTAAATAATTTAGTTAAAATTTTTCACATATTTACCAGAAGGGGTAAGCATCTCAGCTATCACCCTGCGAGCCTCCATCTGTCCCGACTGCGCCCGTTCTCGCCACTGTTCCAGTAACTTGGGGTGGGTCAAGGCAATCTGGAGTGAGAAGAGGATCCTGTTAATAACAACTTACTGTGTGCAACATAAGATGTCAGGGTTTCCAATGACAACCACTGGTTACCTTGTACAATATAAGATAAAACCATTTCTGTGAACACCATTATGATAATTTTAGAGATGGAGGCAAGGGGCCTTGGTCCGCTTTTGAGAAGAAATTAACCCCAAGTTTAGAGTCTTAGGAAAACTCCTTTTGTTCATATATTTACCATATTCAACTTCGAAAGGTGCATTAATTCTGTGTTGATGGAATACCAGTGTTACGTTGACAAATTAAATTTGATTCAGTACCTTTTTTTCAGAAATGAATTTATTCATATTTATATACGTTCGTATTTCAAATACTTACTGAGACACAACTAAACATGCAGCACCTTTCCTTTGGCAAGTCACTTATGTTGATGAGGGGCAACTGAGTGTTGGTCTTCAAATTATTCTTTTCAAGTCGATTACCAGTCTGAAAATAATGCAAAAATTTAATATTTTTAATATTTCCTGTCATTTCAATCTCTCAATTTTAAATCTTAAACAATACAATAAATGATATATGTTGTATTTTAACTGCACAGTTAACTTTAACTTAGTAAATACTGGAAAGAAATACAATTAACTTTACTCTTTCAGGGCCAACTTAATCTTCCAGGTCTTGTCCATATATATGTGTTAATATCATATGTTAATCATGTGATTTAAACCTCGTCACCTATCCTTGCATATGCACCAGCCTGCAAGCTAACTGTTTTCAAATTACAGGGACATAATTCACCATACCGATAACTAAAACCCAATTCTGGTAGCTTGGAATATATAAGTTTCAATTGTTCAAAATTTCTTCAAAAAGTTCAAATATTAGATTCAAGCTTTTCATTATACCATTTCCACAACCTCACCTCATCAGTTTTCAGTCTTTTGTGTAAGAAGTTATTGGAGTATATCAACACCCTCTGGGTGGCTCTCTCACAGAACTTGAGCTCCTCCTTCAGAAACCTCCGGTTGGAAAGCACAAATTCTTCAAAGTTTTTTGATCGCTTGTGACCATTGCCCAAGCCTACTTTTGAAGATCTGGAAGGAAGGCAATGGGTTCAGTTTTAGCTACAAATCTCACTGTGCCTTCATTTTATTTATGAGTGGTGTGATATACAAGGCTGTTATGGAAATCCACAATCCATATCTTTTATCACCAAGACCCCTCCACATGTATATGTCATATGTCCTATTCCTGATCATATTTTCTAAATAACATTCTTGTGCTATTAGATTACGAAATAACCCCAAGTAATGAAAGTTGTTTTTTTTTTTTCAGTCTTTCACAAACACATTGATAATACAGCCGTGTTGACCAAAACATCAAGATTTGCAAAACATAAAAAAAAGGTCAGGAATATGACCTATTATCTCAACATCTGAAGGCATCCTTGGACAATAAAGTACCTTTTCAGTTTCCCAGTACTAGTCATAGTTATCTCCACAGGATCGTAGCACTTCTCCTGGCTGAGGCGCTTGGCGTCTTTTAACACCTGGAGCAGAATGCTTGCTCTCTTCCTGGATTCCTCCATGTTGTCTCCAGTCCCCATTATATAACGCTGCATGCACCCACATGGCTTGTTTTTGAAACTTGGACAGAAGAGCTTCTCAGCTTTAATGAAAAAAATCGAGATATTTCATTATTGGCACATTTTCTGAGGATTTCAATAATAAACCTGTGCTTCCTAGCTACTATTGCTAAATAAAGGAGACATTTTTAGGTGTTTACCTATATTTACTAGCCGCACAGAATGTTAGAATGTCTTACTGACTAATTTGACCTTCCAATAAAATTATTGAATATACATGTGCACAAACAGTATTGAAGATAAACCTTTTTACTGCATTAGTACTTCCTTGTAATTATAATCACTTACCATCTGGGTCATTAAGACCTTCTACTAAAGACAAAGCAAACGTTTTTGCCTCATCCAGGTATTTCTCCTTCGTTTCCTGGGGCACCTGAAGCTTTTCTTTGGATGGGCGTGGCCTTCTTGGGCGTTCAAACGCCAATCCTAGGAAAGAGACACAGACACAATGAGAGGTTTTATTTGATGTCTTCATAAATCTGATAGTGTACCTAATTAAACTGAACCTTTAAGGACAAAGTCAGCACATGTGCACTTTTGTGTGAGTTGGTGTATATGTGACTTTTTATGTTAACATGCTTGATGGCAGATAACAAGTAGAGAATCAATGTAAGACAGGTCTTTAGGCAGGGGGAGGAGGGAGGAGGTCAGCGGGGCTAAAAAGTACCCCTTTTAGGCCACAAAAGGTCCACTCTTCTAAGTGTCGCCTGAGTAGTGTAAAAAGGCCAACTTTTTTCCAGAAAAAAAAAGCCCTTCACTGGCTACAGGCCTGTAAGAAATCATTTGCTCAAGCCAAGCAGTTTCCACTCACCGCAGGCATTGCACAGTGTCAGTGTATTTCCAGTAGCAGGATCTATCTTGTGCCTGGGCATAGGCTGGTGTTTTGAAGGTAGTCCTCCTCTGTTCTTACTGTTCATAGGATTGCACACATATGGAGACTTGCAAATATCACAGCTAAATGGCTTACCTACAGAAGATACAGAAATGGGTGACAGAAGTTGAACAAATGAATTGAAAACTTTGACCTGGATTGGAAAAATAATTATTTGACTGAACATAAATCATTACACCATTATTTTTCTGATCAGAATCAGTATGTTACTTTTTTCTTGAATCCTATTTGATCAAAATGGTAAAACTACTTCAATGCAACAGTTAAATATTTTATCCACAAGTTGTTTTATATTTCAAAAGTCAAATTGTACTCCAATTCTTCTTACCATCAGGAGCTTTATCATAGGCCCTAACTTGTATAACCTTTCTGGGAGTATCTTGTTTTCTGCCACCACTCTTCTTTTTCCGTTTGCCAGTTCCCTTGCTATTTGAACCTCCAGGAGCAGGAGAATAGGATCTCTTCTGGCGACGACTACGTTCACTCTTTCTGGTACCAGATTGAGGCTGCATAACAAAAAATAAATGAATAAATGATAATAATTAAACAAATTGATATTTGACATGAAAAATAAACAGTTCATTTTTTAATTCTTTCCATCTTAAGTGATATTACCTAACCTTTATTTTAATATATTTCACTTTCCCTGCGATAAACAGATATTAAATAAATATAAAAATTTTTAATTGAAAGAAAACAAGACAAAAGAAAAATTTAATAAATAAGACAATTTATTATTTTAAAAAAATAATAAAGATGAATAATCATCTTACTGTAGTTTTCTTCTTTTTTGTTTGTTGTGGTGGCAGTGAACTGGCATCACTTTCTACCCCAGATAAACCTCCTGGCGTGGGGTTGTACAGAAACAGCATCTCTGAGGCATCGACGGGACTATCTGTACAAATACATAAAAGTGATGTTGAAATGCCGAGAAGAGAGAGAGAAAGAGAGAGAGCGCAGAGAGCGGGGATAGAAAGCGACGATGGCCAAATATCAAAATTCCACAAATTAAAAAAAAAAAATCAGAATTATTATCATGGCAAAGCGAATTACTTACGTTTGGCCTCAACAAAATTTATTTACATAATAACATTTTAAAAACATGATGTTCACACTATTTCTGTATGATTTGTACTACTAGTAAATAAGCATCTCCTAAAACGAAACTTCGTCTGCTCTGAAAAACTAAAGTGCTCAGCATTTGGGGGAATCCCTCCACAGGAGAAACTGAAAATGGTCTTACCAACAGATATGAATGCATCTTCGTCGTCTTCATCATTCACTGCGGTTGAGTCGTCTGCTGTCACATCCTGCGGGTCTTGAGTATCTGACGAAGATATTGCACTTGATTCGGAGATTGGATGTACAACAATCATCCCGGATTTCATTGGATTTGTATTGAAGTTAGCCCAGTCGGTCGCCATTGCTCTTATCGCATCTCCCAGGCTGTGGTGCTCCACAAACAGTGTTATCGATTCTAAATTTAATGTTCTGGGGCTTCTTTTTACCTTAGTCAAACGGTGTGTCTTTTATAATTTTCACAACAACATAATCTTTATTCTATCGTAAACGCTCTGTCTTATAATCAAAAACCTTATTTTTAAATGCCAACATTCGAGCTTACTTTTAGATTCAGCCGAGTAACTTCCTTACTTCCAAGCTGAGCCAAAGATGGAGGCGATTTACAGTATCCCGTTCAAGGTGTTGGAATGTCCAAATCTGAAGCTCAAAAAGCCTTCATGGGTGAAAACACCCTCAGCAATGTTTGTGTATGCTGCAGTTTTACTGTCGTATTTCTTAGTAACAGGAGGTGAGTTGTTCTTTTCGAGGAATCGGCCTTAGAATTCCCTGCCGGGGAAATGGGTCAAGTTGTCGGTGCCACGTTGAGTTTTTCCTCCTTGGCTTTAAATAATTATTTCAGTTACTACACTAGCCAGTGTCGAACCAGTTATTTACTTTCATCTGTTTACATTAATTATACGCTTTTTTTGTATGAATTGTTGATTGCCAACTGATATATAGCCGAATAGCATAGCCTAAGTATTATGAGGATAATTCTTAGTTTATTTACTTACATGTACCCAGATCGATAAGAAGAGTTATCTTATTTAAAACGTTATTTTTCACTTTTAGGTATTATTTACGATGTTATTGTTGAACCACCAAGTATAGGGTCTACAACAGATGAAAGAGGAAACTCACGACCTGTAAGAAAATGCTGTTATTGAACAACTTTATGTAGAACTTTGATTCAAAATTGTGGACTTGTAATAAATTCCCAGTACAGAATACAAAAAAAAAAAAAAAAAAAAAAAAAAATTACCTCTCTCACGGCATCGTTTGTTGTCAAACCCTTAGAAAATACACTTCTTGTACACTGATAAGACTTCGGGTTTTATTAATATTATCATGGATATAAGTATGTAAATGCATATAATATAACAACCTTGTATGATTTATCCATGATATCTGATAATTTCCTTTTTCTAGGTTGCATTTATGCCCTATAGGGTCAATGGTCAGTACATTATGGAGGGTCTTGCCTCAAGCTTTCTCTTCACAATGGGAGGTCTGGGCTTTGTCATCCTAGACCAAACTAACAGTCCTCTGACGCCAAAACTGAACAGGATCCTGCTCCTGGTCGTAGGCTTTGTGTGCATTCTTATATCATTCTTCATGTGCAGGGTTTTCATGAGGATGAAGCTACCGTAAGTTTTATTATGCACACACACACACACACACACTACTAGTATTTCTGTTATATGTGCAAAGATTTTGCGCAAGGTATTGTATAAAATATAAATTTTAAAATTACTGTTTTTTTGCACTTACAGCTCTAAAATAGTATTTTTGTTGTGAGGTGTTTTTTCAGAAAGAAATTTCCCCTAATCTTGACATTTCAATAATTTAGATGTTCATCCACTTTTCAGGGGCTACTTGATGGGATAGGTGACTGAGAAATTCACAGAAACTATTTGATGAACATTTACTATGCAATTGTAGAAGTGTCACCTTGTAAGAAACAACCAAAGAAGGAATGTAAGAAGTTCTTTGATAAAGGAAGTGTGAAATAAACATGTTTATAACATGCTTGGAAACAGTGAGAGGAAAGATAATAATTAAGACTCAGACTTGGGTGCTTTAAACCCAGAGATAAATTTATGATATTTTTATTACTGTAAAAATAAAACTAAAGCTTTGGGTAAGAAAGAAAGTGTACTTCACATTATTAGAACTGCATGCTGAATAAAAGAAATTGCTGAGAGCACCACCAGGTGGTAGGAACAATGAACTACTAGAAGACGGATTCATGACTCGCCACATGAGACTTCAAATGTACATCTCCAGATATGTTCTGAGAGTAGCATGCCAAGTCTGTACTTACAAGTCATTCCATCATGAAGAAATAAAGAAAATATATTATTTATCAAAAAATTTGTTGCTTTTTTTACATAGAGATGTTTTACTAAAATGAACAAGATGTTAGATATTAAAATCTCATTGGGGCCAAATTGAAAGTTGTAAGTTGTCTACAATATTAAGATATAATAAAAATTGGCTAAATTGTATTATATTATGCAAATTTTCTCCAGTGTATGGAACTCAAAGATAAGTAAAACGGGTTTTTGAAAAGTTTTGTTTTATTTGGAGCATAAATCGACTATGTGTTAAATATGTGAAAACAAGAAGAAAGTTCCTGAGGTGACTTTATTGAAATTCATGTGAGGTTTGAACATTTTAGTCATGATACAATTTTTAGCAAAAGTTTATAAAAGTGCGCAGGTAGACTTCTTGATAAAAAAATCATCTAATTCCTACAATAAATCTTAACATGATTCAACACAATACTGACACGTCTTAAGTACAGTTACAGCCATTTCGAAACTAGTTTACTGCTTATTTAAAACAAGCAATTTTGAAGCTTAAATCAATGCATGTTAGCTTACAGACAACCTGAAAGAAGGCCTCCATCAATTAAATAATGACTCGCTTCATCAATGTTTCTCTTGACTTTGTACAAATAATGAAAGCTGATGAATATGTTTGCCCCTCCTGATGTCTGTTTCCAGTCATTTCACCCTTCCATACACATGAATAGTACAACTCTATAGTCTTTCCTGAGTGGTTTAGTATTCCAATACAAAAATGAATTCCAGTCATGTAGCTGGCATGAAGTTAGGGTCCAAGTAATTGTATCCTTCCTTAGTGAACTTGGTGTAGTCCCTGTCGATGAAAGGGGTGGTGTATGGCAGACGGACAGGGTCCAGTCTGTGGCTGGAACTGTGCTGACCAGTCTCAAAGGAGCTGAAAAGATGACCATGGCTTGTTGGATTAAATTGGTCAGTTATACTATTATATGACTATTAAGTTTTTGGTGAAAATGTGGAAATTCAAGTTTTGAGGAGGGAGAGAAAATTGAAGAAGAAAAGATGACCAGGGCATGTTGGGTAACATTGGTCATGAATACTACAGTGTATATTACTGTTACAGAAACGCGACAGAGATGTTTATTTTTTTTGTGTGTGTGTGTGTGCATGTGTGTAAAAATGTGGAAATTCAAGTGAGGAGAAGAAAGAGAAAACTGAGGAAAATTAATCTCCACTTTAATACATGTAACTGTTACCTGTCCACACATCCTTCACAGAAGTCAACAGCTGTGTCTTCAGGGCAGTCAATACAATGGAACCTAACTCCCACTATAGGTTCACAGCCACAGCGGTCACACTGGAAGAAAAGAGGACAAAATGCACTTTTTGGACTTTTTCTCTACACAACTGAATCAGTTTTACTGGATAAAAATGTGAAGCATTCAAAATGTGCTTAGATTATAACAGTAAGTTTCAATAAATGAATGAAAATCAATTTGCTTTATAGGTTAAATGTAGTATGAAGCATTCTGCATGAGATGAATAACATCATTTGATGAAAATATAAGAACAAGCTAGCTTTCATGAAGTCATCTAAAATTCTGTTGCTTAATACCTTGTAACCAGCATGCTGTCTTTGGCCAAGCTTGTCATGATCTAAATTCATCTTCACTCTCTTTAGCTTCTTCAGTCTCAGCAGTTCCTGGTATTCCTCAGAATCTCGTAGATGAACTGGAACTGCCTCTTCATCCTGGAATACAAAACGTGTGGCACAGATCAAAAAGAAAGATATCTGAAAATTGACAGTATGTCTAAATATGCTGTTTGACAATTTGAATTTTAAATCATTAGAGCAAAGTAACAATAAAAACAATCCATTTTTGTTTGTTTTTTGTTGCAGAGAAATTAATTAATTTTTAAAAAAATATTTGAGTGTTGCATCAGGATATTAAATAGTACATCTCAATGAAAAGGCATCCCTCATTTGTAAAAAAAAACATCACAACCCAAAACTCACTGAAATCTCTTCCTCTTCATCCCCAAACTGGTTCATCATTCTGGGGTCCTCCATGTCTTCACTGCTGCCGCCAAACATGGAGGCGGAGTCGCCATCATCATCTGACATGTACACTGGGGGCTGGTAGGAGGTCATGAAGGTGGAGGGGGCCTGGTAGAACCTGTTGTACATCCTCTGGTGGGGTCTCTGACTCTGGAATGGAGAAACTGGTGTAGCAATGGCCAATCCAAGATTAGAAAGGGTGAATCCCTTTTTTGGAAAGGAGCAGGTCTGTATTTATTTATTTATTGATTTATTATTTTTGTTTTTTTTTGAAAAAAGGGACAGGCTAAGTCCACCCGTGCATAATATATTATACTACTGAGGGACCATTACCGGACTCTATTGTACTAACTGTGATCGATCTATCTCAGAGGGGATTCTTGCTAAATTGCAATCAACTTGAGCAGCTTAGATGTCTGTCACACCTACGGAGGGCACTAGGGGGTGATAAAGTATTATTAAGCAGCGTGACAGACATCTAAGCTGCTTAAGCTGAAAGCAATTTAGCGAGAAACCCCTCGGAGATGGATTGATCCTATTAGATCGATCTAGGTATGGGCACCCAGTCTAACACCCCATTTCCATAGATTTTTAGATCGATCTATCCCTGTGGGGAGTGTCACTATATTACTGTCAGCTTGGCCGGCCTAAGCGTCTGTCCTGCCTACTAAAAGCTGTAAGGGGGTAATTAACTATGGTGCCCGCTCGGCTGACTGCAATTTAGCATGAACACCCAGGGAGTTAGGTTGATCTAAATCTTAATCTCTAGATCGATCTAAATCTCTGGGAAAGCACCCTAAGAGTCTCTGAGTGAATGCAGACTATGTGGGATTACAGAACAAAACCATTTACAGTACTTAATTTCTGGTACTTCAATTAAGTGACAGATTTACCTTGGTCCTATAGTGTGCCACATTGGGCATTCTACCAGGAATTGGAAGTCCTGCCTTGGCCAGCTTGATGAAGTACTTCTGAACCCTGCTAGCAACCTAAAGTCAAAGACACAATCTGGTTATTTACAAATCAAACCCAGCTTGAATAATGAAGTATCTATTTCTAGGATGAAATCTAAGGCTTCGTTCACATGCAATGTCTATTTTCTAAATTCTATTTTCTATTCGCGGCATGTCTTATGATCACGGTCTGTGCACTGAATATCCCGCCGCGTAATTACTGGCAGCGCGAGCCAGTTACTATAAGTTACTATAAGTAACTGGCTCGCGCTGCCAGTAATTACGCGGCGGGACATTAAGGGCACAGACCGTGATCATAAGATAGCGCAAATAGAAAATAGAATTTAGAAAATAGACATTGCATGTGAATGAAGCCTAATTGGTTTTGTTTTATGACACTGTTGAACATTAATATTTTAATAGAATATTACAGTAACACTCAGTTAGGAGCTTAAATTAGAATCATAGGCACATGGTGACACAAAGCAAATTTTATTTTGTCAAAAACAAATAATTCAATTTATTATATAACTTAATTTCTTATCCAAATGTTTAAATAACAATTGAAAAGCAGTGCCAAAAAATGACCAAGACTGTACCTGTATAGGAGTCCTGTTCCCCAAGGCGTTTGCTATCTTCACCCAGCGATGTCTTTCCACTGGCTCAGGTGGGCACTCAATGAGAAGTTCCTCCAAACGTTTCTGCTCTTCTGCTGTCCACAACTGATTGAATGTGGCAGATTTTGACTGATCCTTCACCCTCCCTCGGATGACATTTTGCTCAGAATTGGCCAAGGCTGATGATGCTCCTGTCTGGCANACACACACACACACACACACACTACTAGTATTTCTGTTATATGTGCAAAGATTTTGCGCAAGGTATTGTATAAAATATAAATTTTAAAATTACTGTTTTTTTGCACTTACAGCTCTATAATAGTATTTTTGTTGTGAGGTGTTTTTTCAGAAAGAAATTTCCCCTAATCTTGACATTTCAATAATTTAGATGTTCATCCACTTTTCAGGGGCTACTTGATGGGATAGGTGACTGAGAAATTCACAGAAACTATTTGATGAACATTTACTATGCAATTGTAGAAATGTCACCTTGTAAGAAACAACCAAAGAAGGAATGTAAGAAGTTCTTTGATAAAGGAAGTGTGAAATAAACATGTTTATAACATGCTTGGAAACAGTGAGAGGAAAGATAATAATTAAGACTCAGACTTGGGTGCATTAAACCCGGAGATAAATTTATATTTTTATTACTGTAAAAATAAAACTAAAGCTTTTGGTATAAAAGAAAGTGTACTTCACATTAGAACTGCATGCTGAATAAAAGCAATTGCTGAGAGCACCACCTGGTGGTAGGAACAATGAACTATTAGAAGACGGATTCATGACTCACCACATGGACTTTAAATGTACATCTCCAGATATGTTCTGAGAGTAGCATGTCAAGTCTGTACTTACAAGTCATTCCATCATGAAGAAATAAAGAAAAATATATTATTTATCAGAAAATTTGTTGCTTTTTTTACATGGAGATGTTTTACTGAAATGAACAAGATGTTTGATACTAAAATCTTATTGAGGCCAAATTGAAAGGTGTTAGCTGTCTACAATATTAAGATATATTTATTAATAAAAATTGGCTAAATTGTATTATATTATGCAAATTTTGTCTAATTTATGGAACACAAAAATAAGTAAAATGGGTTTTTTAAAGTTTAGTTTTATTTTGGAGCATAAATCGACTATATCCATGTGTGATTTACCTTCACAATGTGTAAAATATGTGAAAACGAGAAAAAAGTTCCTGAGGTGACTTTATTGACATTCATGTGAGGTTTGACCATTTTAGTCATGATACAATTTTTAGCAAAAATTTATAAAAGTGTGCAGGTAGACTTCTGGATAAAAAAATCATCTAATTCCTACAATAAATCTTAACATGATTCAACACAATACTGACACGCCTTAAGTACAGTTACAGCCATTTCGAAACTAGTTTACTGCTTATTTAAAACAAGCAATTTTGAAGCTTAAATCAATGCATGTTAGCTTACAGACAACCTGAAAGAAAGCCTCCATCAATTAAATAACGACTCGCTTCATCAATGTTTCTCTTGACTTTGTACAAATAATGAAAGCTGATGAATATGTTTGTCCCTCCCGATGTCTGTTTCCAGTCATTTCACCAACCCATACACATAAATAGTACAACTCTATAGTCTTTCCTGAGTGGTTTAGTATTCTAATACAAAAATGAATTCCAGTCATGTAGCTGGCATAAAGTTAGGGTCCAAATAATTGTATCCTTCCTTAGTGAACTTGGTGTAGTCTCTGTCGATGAAAGGGGTGGTGTACGGCAGACGGACAGGGTCCAGTCTGTGGCTGGAACTGTGCTGACCAGTCTCAAAGGAGCTGAAAAGATGACCATGACTTGTAGGGTGAAATTGGACAGTTTTACTATTATATTATTGTTAAGTTTTTGGTGAAAATGTGGAAATTTAGGTAAGTAGAAGAGAAAACTGAGGAAGAAAAGATGACCAGGGCATGTTGGTGAAATTGGTCATTAATAATTTACTGTTACAGAAATGAGACAGACATGTCCATTTTATTTATTTATTTATTTATTTATTTATTTATTTATTTATTTATTTTTGTGAAAATGTGGAAATTCAAATGAGGAGAAGAAAGAGAAAATCGAGGATAATTAACCTCCACTTTAGCACATGTAACAGTTACCTGTCCACACATCCTTCACAGAAGTCAACAGCTGTGTCATCAGGGCAGTCAATACAATGAAACCTAACTCCTACTATAGGTTCACAGCCACAGCGATCACACTGGAAGGATAGAGGGAAAAATGCACTTTTTGCACTTCTGAGTTCTGTTTATACACAACTGCAACAGTTTTACTGGACAAAAATGTGAAAAATTCAAAACATGCTAAGATTATAACAAAGAGTTTCAATCAATGAATGAAAATAAATTTGCCTTATAGGTTAAAGTAGTATGAAGCATTCTGAATGAGAAGTATTACATCAGATGTTGAAAATACTAGAACAAGCTAGTTTTCACAAAGTCATCTAACATTATGCTGCTGAATACCTTGTAACCAGCATGCTGTCTTTGTCCAAGCTTGTCATGATCAGAATTCATCTTCACTCTCTTCAGCTTCTTCAGTCTCAGCAGTTCCTGGTATTCTTCAGAATCTCGTAGATGAACTGGAACTGTCTCTTCATCCTGGAACACAAAACGTGTGGCACAGATTAAAAAGAGAGATATCTGAAAATTGACAGTATGTCTAAATATTCTGTTTGACAATTTGATTTTTAAATCATTAGCGCTAAGTAACAATTAAAACAGTCCATTTTTTTTTTTTTTGCAGAGCAATTAATCAGTTTTTTTTTTAAATTAAGTATTGTATCAGGATATTAAACAGAACATCACAATAAAAAGACATCCCTCATTTGTAAAAAAAAAATAAATAAATAAAAAATCGCAACCCAAAACTCACTGAAATCTCCTCCTCTTCATCCCCAAACTGGTTCATCATTCTGGGGTCCTCCATGTCTTCACTGCTGCCGCCAAACATGGAGGCGGAGTCGCCATCATCATCTGACATGTACACTGGGGGCTGGTAGGAGGTCATGAAGGTGGAGGGGGCCTGGTAGAACCTGTTGTACATCCTCTGGTGGGGTCTCTGACTCTGGAATGGAGAAACTGGTGTAGCAATGGAAAGGGGCAGGTCTGTATTTATTTATTTATTGATTTATTATTTTTGTTTTTTTTTGAAAAAAGGGACCGGCTAAGTCCACCCCTGCATAATATATTATACTACTAAGGGACCAGTACCGGACTCTATTGTACTAACTGTGATCGATCTATCTCAGAGGGGATTCTTGCTAAATTGCAATCAACTTGAGCAGCTTAGATGTCTGTCACACCTACGGAGGGCACTAGGGGGTGATAAAGTATTATTAAGCAGCGTGACAGACATCTAAGCTGCTTAAGCTGAAAGCAATTTAGCGAGAAACCCCTCGGAGATGGATTGATCCTATTAGATCGATCTAGGTATGGGCACCCAGTCTAACACCCCATTTCCATAGATTTTTAGATCGATCTATCCCTGTGGGGAGTGTCACTATATTACTGTCAGCTTGGCCAGCCTAAGCGTCTGTCCTGCCTACTAAAAGCTGTAAGGGGGTAATTAACTATGGTGCCCGCTCGGCTGACTGCAATTTAGCATGAACACCCAGGGAGTTAGGTTGATCTAAATCTTAATCTCTAGATTGATCTAAATCTCTGGGAAAGCACCCTAAGAGTCTCTGAGTGAATGCAGACTATGTGGGATTACAGAACAAAACCATTTACAGTACTTTGTTTCTGGTACTTCAATTAAGTGACAGATTTACCTTGGTCCTATAGTGTGCCACATTGGGCATTCTACCAGGAATTGGAAGTCCTGCCTTGGCCAGCTTGATGAAGTACTTCTGAACCCTGCTAGCAACCTAAAGTCAAAGACACAATCTGGTTATTTACAAATCAAACCCAGCTTGAATAATGAAGTATCTATTTCTAGGATGAAATCTAAGGCTTCGTTCACATGCAATGTCTATTTTCTAAATTCTATTTTCTATTTGCGGCATGTCTTATGATCACGGTCTGTGCACTGAATATCCCGCCGCGTAATTACTGGCAGCGCGAGCCAGTTACTATAAGTTACTATAAGTAACTGGCTCGCGCTGCCAGTAATTACGCGGCGGGACATTAAGGGCACAGACCGTGATCATAAGATAGCACAAATAGAAAATAGAATTTAGAAAATAGACATTGCATGTGAATGAAGCCTAATTGGTTTTGTTTTATGACACTGTTGAACATTAATATTTTAATAGAATATTACAGTAACACTCAGTTAGGAGCTTAAATTAGAATCATAGGCGCATGGTGACACAAAGCAAATTTTATTTTGTCAAAAACAAATAATTCAATTTATTATATAACTTAATTTCTTATCCAAATGTTTAAATAACAATTGAAAAGCAGTGCCAAAAAATGACCAAGACTGTACCTGTATAGGAGTCCTGTTCCCCAAGGCGTTTGCTATCTTCACCCAGCGATGTCTTTCCACTGGCTCAGGTGGGCACTCAATGAGAAGTTCCTCCAAACGTTTCTGCTCTTCTGCTGTCCACAACTGATTGAATGTGGCAGATTTTGACTGATCCTTCACCCTCCCTCGGATGACATTTTGCTCAGAATTGGCCAAGGCTGATGACGCTCCTGTCTGGTAGTTGGTGTAACTGTCAGGTGGTTCAGATTTGACATCTGTAAATTAGAGTTTGAAGAAAAAAAGCTAAAATCATTATCTAAAAACCTTTGTTATATGAAAGGAAAAGTAAAAAATTAGATTCTGAAAATGACAAATCTACAATGATGGATATCTAAAAAAACACTGGGCTACAAAAACTGATAAAAAGATGATTACAGAACTGTAAATGATCGCTTTCACACTACCTGCCATCTGTCTCTTTGTTCTGGTCATATGTTTGTAATAGCCCACAGAACTGGATGTGTAATTTTCCCAGGCAATGTGAGGAATGGTAGCTATTCTCTGTGGCTTAGGAATCCCTAGGTCCACTTTCTTTTGTAATTTTTCAACAAAAGTGATCGGGTCTCTCAGTGCCTCATCTTGAATGTTATACAGTGTCTCCAAATCTTGGACCGCTTTGGCCCTTTGTGCTTCTAACAGGACGACAGTTTTTAGTAATGCATGATAATCTTTGTTGCCTTTCAGAGCCAAGTGGTCCGATTCAAAGTAAAATGTTCCATCATCTTTATCGCTGTCATACTCATTACTGTCGTATCGTTTTGAAAAATCTGTAGTAAAATTAGAGTCACTTGTGCCATTTTTATCATTTATTTCATCAGCAGCTGACGTACTGCCATTCATTGTTTCAGAGAAAGAAATGATTTGATCATTTTTGTTTTTTTCACATTTTTGTGTCCCAGATGGAGACTTCTGTACAATGGGCACAGATTCTGATACACTGTTTTCCAGGCTGCTGCTGCATTCTGTTTCATTTGTGTCATCTTCCTCCATGTGAAATCCATCTGAACGTGTGCCAGCCTGCAGTTTGACCAAGTCCAGATGATCACTTGATGAATGCTCCATGCTGGTCAGTTTTACATGTACGTGCACCTGTCAATTAAGTAATTTGAAAAAATAATTATAACGATATATATCACTTAAATGACAATTTGGCTGTCTATTCAACACTGTTCTTTATAAGGGGAAAATGTCTAACTAATTCATCTCGTTAAGCCAATTTTTCAACATTTAAATGAGTCCTTGAAAGTTATTTTATTCAACTTTATCATAATTTTATACAGAAGATAAAATAGAAAAACGTCTTTTCATATTTGGAAAGCAGAATTGCTTATTTAAACAGCAAATTTAAGGTTGGACACAAAACAAACATGCATCGTTAGTAGCAAAAACAAGTACTCTCTCTCACTAGATATATCTGATAGAAGATATACAACTGATACAGGCAACTGCAGACTGTACTTAATGTTAAGCTCGTTTGCAATCAATAAATCCTTNAGTTGGTGTAACTGTCAGGTGGTTCAGATTTGACATCTGTAAATTAGAGTTTGAAGAAAAAAAGCTAAAATCATTATCTAAAAACCTTTGTTATATGAAAGGAAAAGTAAAAAATTAGATTCTGAAAATGACAAATCTACAATGATGGATATCTAAAAAAACACTGGGCTACAAAAACTGATAAAAAGATGATTACAGAACTGTAAATGATCGCTTTCACACTACCTGCCATCTGTCTCTTTGTTCTGGTCATATGTTTGTAATAGCCCACAGAACTGGATGTGTAATTTTCCCAGGCAATGTGAGGAATGGTAGCTATTCTCTGTGGCTTAGGAATCCCTAGGTCCACTTTCTTTTGTAATTTTTCAACAAAAGTGATCGGGTCTCTCAGTGCCTCATCTTGAATGTTATACAGTGTCTCCAAATCTTGGACCGCTTTGGCCCTTTGTGCTTCTAACAGGACGACAGTTTTTAGTAATGCATGATAATCTTTGTTGCCTTTCAGAGCCAAGTGGTCCGATTCAAAGTAAAATGTTCCATCATCTTTATCGCTGTCATACTCATTACTGTCGTATCGTTTTGAAAAATCTGTAGTAAAATTAGAGTCACTTGTGCCATTTTTATCATTTATTTCATCAGCAGCTGACGTACTGCCATTCATTGTTTCAGAGAAAGAAATGATTTGATCATTTTTGTTTTTTTCACATTTTTGTGTCCCAGATGGAGACTTCTGTACAATGGGCACAGATTCTGATACACTGTTTTCCAGGCTGCTGCTGCATTCTGTTTCATTTGTGTCATCTTCCTCCATGTGAAATCCATCTGAACGTGTGCCAGCCTGCAGTTTGACCAAGTCCAGATGATCACTTGATGAATGCTCCATGCTGGTCAGTTTTACATGTACGTGCACCTGTCAATTAAGTAATTTGAAAAAATAATTATAACGATATATATCACTTAAATGACAATTTGGCTGTCTATTCAACACTGTTCTTTTTAAGGGGAAAATGTCTAACTAATTCATCTCGTTAAGCCAATTTTTCAACATTTAAATGAGTCCTTGAAAGTTATTTTATTCAACTTTATCATAATTTTATACAGAAGATAAAATAGAAAAACGTCTTTTCATATTTGGAAAGCAGAATTGCTTATTTAAACAGCAAATTTAAGGTTGGACACAAAACAAACATGCATCGTTAGTAGCAAAAACAAGTACTCTCTCTCACTAGATATATCTGATAGAAGATATACAACTGATACAGGCAACTGCAGACTGTACTTAATGTTAAGCTCGTTTGCAATCAATAAATCCTTGATAATTACCCAATCAAAAATTCTTATAAGAAGGACGGGTAAATACTTTTATCTATATCTTTTGTTTCCAAAAGGACTGCATTTTCAGAAATCAAAACACAAGTTTTGCAAACGATAATAAGTTTGACGCTCAACTTCCCAATGCCCGTCAACTGTGCGCACCCATATTGAAAGTTCCCGGATGAATAAGGCAAAGGCAATCGATCAAAACTCTGTATGGGTATTACTTTTGGGAACAGATGCATAAAATTTACCACATCAATGATGTTTACAATAATATAATTGTTTAAACAAACTTTGAAAGTAATTACGAAAATATGACGCACGTGGTACATACGTTGTGTTTTCAGGCGTTCCAACTTTTAGACATAACCAATAACCAACGATAGAGAAGCACTAGTGGAGCCTCAGTGGCTGTATATGGAATCGCAGGCTTTTTTACGCCTAATGTTCTAAGGTCAAACTTTGGCACTGGATCAGAAATGAATCTCCTGCCGAAGTCCCATGCAGACTTCAGCTCTGTAGATTACTGGGATAAGTTCTTTAAGAAGAGGGGATCAGAAGCATTTGAATGGTACTAGCTCTCTCTCTCTCTCTCTCTCTCTCTCTCTTATCAAAAGATAATTACTATAACTAATGTTTAATTTTTTTCTCTATGATTACTTTCGCATGCTGTATTATTAGAACATCGGTATAAGATTTTGTTAACAAACTGATTTTTCGCACCAGTTACCAGTATTTGGGTGACACACATTGAGAAGTAAACACCATATACTGTATAACTAAAGATATTCCATATAATTCTGTGTATTCACTTTAGGTATGGAGAATATCCAGATCTGTGTGGCGTGTTACACAAATACATCAAGCCAAGTGACAACATCCTAGTGATAGGCTGTGGTAACTCTCAGCTGAGTGCTGATATATATGATGTAGGTTACCAGAACATTACCAACATTGACATCAGTGAGGTTGTCATCAAACAGATGGCAGCCAAGAATGCTGAGCAGAGACCTGATATGAAGTTTCTGCAAATGGATCTGATGAAGGTATAAGAGAGGCCATCACTCCAGCTTCCTCTCTCTGTCTCTGTCTCTGTCTCTCTCTCTCTCTCTCTCTCTCTCTCTCTTTGCTTAACTTGCAGTATTGTACTGTACTTTGAAAGAAACAAGACATTACCTAGACTTTTTGGGAAAAATTTTTTTCTAGATTTGAAGTGTTAGCCCACACCAGATTATCACAATAAGAGTGAAGTACATTTTGACATTTCCTTTAAATCTGTAATATTTAATGATTTTAACCATACTTGTATTGTTTAAAATTTCAGATGGAATTTGAAGATAACACCTTCTCAGTTATATTGGACAAGGGTACTCTTGATGCCATAATGACTGATGACACTGAAAAAGTGAGCGAAGATGTTGATAAGATGTTTAGGGAACTTTGCAGAGTCTTACGGCTTGGAGGGAGATACATTTGTGTGTCACTGGCACAAGACCACATCCTGAAAAAAGTGGTGAACTTCTTTCCCCACGAGTAAGTACTCAGTATGTCCTTTTTATCCACTGAAATTTACTGCCTTGTGTAGGGCATAAAGAAAGTTGATAATGGCCCTGTTATTTTGTGCATCCTGGCAATTTTGAATGAATAAAACCCAAAAACATTTGTCAAAAAAACTGAAATTAAATTTTTAGTCTTTTCAGTTTTTCAAGACAACATATGCAGTAATTGAATGATTATACACCAGTATATCAACAAGCTACAAAAGATCTTGAAATCTGATATGATATTGACAGTGGATTGCGGTCGATATGATTGATTAATTGATGATTGATTCATATAAATAGACTCTGTGTATTTGCAGAGGGTGGCCACTACGTATCCACCGTGTCAGTGTCCAGCCCAAGGACACAGAGGGCCACAGGGAGTTCCAGATGCCAGTATTTCTATATGTCTGCACTAAATTTAAGAAAATGCCAAACATGAAACAGGTGATTGTGTTTGTTGGTGTTCATGTTCTTGTAATTAAGTTGTGCGTATTTTTGTGTGTTCTATAGCAATAATGATGCATTCTTTCTCTAAGGGTATTGAAAAAGATTTGTCCTGTGCATTGAAGCTGATTGTAGTTGATTACTGTCATTTTGAGATTTATTACAAAGAAGAGAAATACTAAAATCATCAAAACAGCTTATTCATGATTTTGAATTTTCATCGGATTAGATTTTGTAAATAAGTCATACGTAACTGTAATTGTTATTTATATGATTCATACAACAATTAAAATTGAAGTAGTATATTGTAGATCTTAGAGGTATGTCAGTTAGAAGACCAGGTGTCCAGACTGGAGAGTACAGACGAGATGACCACAGCGGTCAAGGAGATGCAGCACTATGCTATGGTCAGGCAGCAGATTAACAAAAGGTTATACTTAACAGCTACAAATACAGTATATAATAATAATAATAACAATAACAACAACAACAACGAAGGTAATAATGCATATTTGAAACTAATATAGTTGGAGTTTGAAATATTATAAATATTTAAATTCACAAAATAAAATAAGATTAACAAAAATGTTAATTAAAAGTGTTCAGATTAAATAAAACATTTGGTCTTCTTTTCTCTTTTTTTATGACAGAAAAATTTTACTAAAATCCTGTTACTATTTAATCTCAATAATTATTATTTATTTTTTTTTTTGCTTAAATGTCATCAACTTGAAGAGTGTATCTATTTGTCTTCCAGAAGTCACCCTGATGACCAGATAGTCCTTCACCTGTATGGTCCCACGTCCAGCACCTCTCCCAGGTATACCCTCCATGTTGTGGACAGTGACAGGAATGCCAGGGACAATGTGTTTGCTATTTTTATTGCTCCTGAAGGAAGGTGAGTTCACTGCGTACAGCATGTTCTGGATTGACTTTATGTGATTAGTTCGACAAGTCTTGGCCTTTGTTTGGTTGAAAGTTTAAAGATTAACTCCGAAAGTTAAGAATAGATTTCGATAAAATGTTCAAGGTAGGTTTATGCATGACATAATTGAATCAAATCGATTATATTTTAGTGATAACTCTTTAATTAATTATATTTTATAAAGATTGCAGAGTATGTTTTTAATCTTAATGCTGGCCTTGGTCAGATGTTCATATTCTTATAAGAAAATCAAAAATATTTGGCCAGTGCCATTTAACTAGATGCTGTCCTGACTGTGATGTTATGGCCTTCTGTCAGACCACCAATTCTGAACACGACATGTTGAAACAACATTATCGTACAGTATTCTCCAGATACTGAGTAATTTTCTGAAACATGCTTCACATTCAGGGAGACAGAATGGCTATTCTCTACTAATGAAGGAAGAAAACAGCTCTCTGAAAGCGCAGGATTCCAACGGCTGGTTGTGGTCCTGCTACATCGAGATCACTCATATATTGACATGGAGAACATCAAAGCTGAGTTATCGGGTAAAGTCATGGAGCTGGCCCCTGCTGAGCTGAAAAATAAGACACAGGTAATACATGTCGATGTTTGCCAAAAGAATTCTTGCCAACACGCATGGCATGAATGCACGCACTTTCACACCCCCATGTTTGACTATATGTTCACCTGTTGTTAACCATTATTTACCTGTAAATTTATATATGTCCATGTTGCACTCTCTAGTATTTTAATTGTACTGAATTTGGGGGTAGAGAGTCTTCTGGAACAGTTTAGACTGATTGTATTGATATAATTTTAACAAATTGTTTTTCAAATATATTGATCAAAATCATGTCATAATTGCAGATCAGCCAAAATAATAATAAAAATAATAATCTTTAAATAATTATACAATACCCTTATTTAATTCCATTTTAGGTACCGTTTCTGTCCCTGGGGGATGGCATAGGGCATCGTACCATCAAACACAGAGGGAAGAGTAACACAAGTGGTGATTATGTCATAGAAGATGTAGAGTCAGATAACAAAGAACTCGTAAGGAGATTGGTATTTCTCAGCAACCCCAGTCTTGTTCAGTCAGAAGCCAGGTTGAAGCAGGAAACGTCGAAGAAAAAGAGTGGGAAGAAGAAGAATGTAAAACGATTGGTGGTTGACAGTAGCTTCTTATCATGCCAGCACCACAGTACAATTACTGCTGGGATGGCTCTGTTAGGAGACTTTGAGAAGTCTTTAGGTAATTAAATGCAAGACTGCATTCATCCATTTATTTTAAATCAACATAATGATGTTGGAGTGTCCCCAGTTTCAACTACACAAAGATGACAGCCCAAATTCAGTTCACCTGAAGAAGCCCTTGCAATGAGGTTGAAATGTAGTGACCTTAATTTCAGTTGTAAGATGTAATCCTGTCCATCTTTTCTGAAAATAAGACATCTGTCTTTCAAGAAAATGCTGGCCATTTTTTGAAAGATCCAAAAATGCCCAAAAGAGTCCTCAGAATTAAAGTATTCCAGTAGATGCCACATACTGAGAATAAAAACAGTATTCAGATGCAAAGCTTATTACTAAATGTACATGGAAGACAAGACCAGATTAACAAAAAAAGTAATTCCACTTTTTATTGCATTATTATAACAGCATTTATATTGTATATATTTGTTACCTATATTGCATTTCAGATTCAGGTTTACAAATGGCAATAATTGGTCTAGGTGGGGGTGGACTGCCTTTGTTTATTCATGATCATTTTCCTAAGGTGAGATGACATACAATTTACACTTCCATGGTTTAATATAAAGCTTACTAAATTAAATAGATATTACATGGTAAATAGTCCACTGTGGTCTAGGAATAAACATTTTTTTAGAAAAATGCTCAATTACACCCTTATTATACAGAATGTCTATTGTTTATCAGAAATTTTCTATTTGGAAATTATGAATAAATTTTAAAAGATGGAGCTCTCAATGAAAATAACTTCTTCTTTATATCACATAGGTCAGCCTAGATATTGTAGAGATAGATGACACCGTGGTCAGTATTGCCAAGGAATGGTTTGGGTTTGGCAGCGTGACAGAGGAGAGGGTTCACGTGTTTGTGAAAGATGGTCAAGATTATGTCAAAGAACTGGCTGCAGCAGGTAAGTGTTGGATAGAATTAAATAATAACTACAGTTGAACCAGTCTATATATTTTGGTGTATCAACGCATCAGAGACAAGTTGTTCTCTTCTGTTGTGTATATTAAATGGCTAATTCTAAGCGTAACAGTTGTTTAATTGTCGATAAATTTTACTAGTAAAATTTCTGCACCAAAACAGCAAGTTAGCAGAGAAGCTCAACGTATCTGTTATTTAACTAGTAAAGGTTTTCAGTTTATGGATCTAATAGAAAATGATCCTTTCAGCAATTTTGTTAAAGTTTATTATGCCAATACAATTCCTATAAATTGAGCATGCAAGATATTGATGCTTTTTTTGTGAAAAAATTTGCCTTAGTGTGAGTTCTGTTTTCTAAAAACTTGAAAAATTAATTCCTTTTTCTTATTTAATTAGGTGAAACAAAAGATGTGATAATATTTGATATTGACAGTAAAGACAGCAGTGTAGGAATGAGTTCTCCTCCCAAAGGTTTTGTGGAAGCCGAATTTCTGAAAGATGTAGAGAAAACGCTGCACAGCGAAGGTATTTTGAATATGGTTTATGATATCTGACCAAAGTTGGGTGATTGAAATTTTGTAAAAAGAAATCAGTTCACTATGTTGGAGAAGTTTTGTAATGTGAGAAGCAAAAATTCCAAGTTAACCACAATATTTTATTACTTACTTAAAATAATGATACTTGGTTAGGGTGAGGTCCTAGAAGGAACAATTTGTAAGATAAATAAGTTCACTCAATTTGTGATGGATTTATTTTCCATTTCTTGATTAACTGACTTCATCACCAGTCAGTTTGATTTCCTCCTATCTCAAACCCACAAATTGTTGAAATACACATTTTGTAAAATTTGATATTTTGTAAATTTTATTTATTTTTTCCAGGTGTTTTTATCCTCAACCTGGTGTGCAGAGACAAGTCATTGCGAGAGAGCGTTGTGCAAAACTTAAAAAGTGTTTTCAAGACTGTACTCAATGTAAAAATCCCAGATGAAGTCAACGAAATTGTATTCTGTTTGTCCAATTCAAGACAGTCAGCAGTAGAAATGACCCAAGATTCAGAAATTTTGCCAGAAACAGTGACAGGTGCTCTGAAGAAGTTACAAGACAGTGTAGATTTAAAAAGCAATGCAGCAGCAGATGTGGTTAATTTAACATGCAGGCTGGAAGGCTTACACATTTTATAATGATGTTTATTGCCAAGCTTAATAGGATCCACTTGAATTGTTTACATTTATTAAATGCTGTTCTCAAGTCTTTCCTCATATTTCTTACGTCCAGAGTGAGAAACTGAGAGAAAAATGGAATTTTTTTTTTTTTCGTTTTAAATTTACACATCAGATTCGAGTGCCAAGCACTTTAAAAATTAAAATCATTCATATATACATTTGTCCCCTTTTTTATTTTGCTCTAAACCTTACCAATCTGGGATTTGCAAACATAAAAAGCTTCAATTAATAAACATCAAGAAGACGGAAAGATATCTTGCCTTGATAATAGGCCATACTATGCAGTTATTTACAGGTGCAAATATCATATCCCTGATATGCAAACAAACACACCTTATCTTCTCACATGTCACTTTCATTCAATCACTGTATTTAATTTTTTAAAAATGCCTAAAACTACTAATTCACCATTCAATGTGTTGCCAATAAAATATCAAGAGAGTGCAGTAACGAGTTGCAGCTTAAATTGACAATCAGAGAACCAGTATTTCACATTCATGGTCACTTACTCCCTGTAACAATTGAACTTCACAATGAAAAGTGAATTTGGCAGCACATTGCATCTTAAAGTACAGAAATTCTAGTATATTAATCATTTAAACTAAGTCTCTTACTATGCAGTTAAATCAGGCTCAGTTTAACTGTATGGACGAGTCTAGCTTAAGACTAAGCTATGGGACAATGATGAATGTCACAACTCTTTTTCTCATGTATGGCGGTTAGATTCATAAATAAGGAATGGGAAGAAATATGTTGGCAGTAGTTTTCATCAAAGACTGTCATAAAATGTTGGTGTATGCAATTCATACACAGAACATACATTCATTACTATGATACTACAAATAACATTGCTTCATGCTTTCATTTTTTTACAAAGGCAAACAGTAATATTATGACAATTTAGATCATCAATAAGATTAACCAGACTTTAGTAACTGAAGTATGAAAGTAAGCTTTTTGCATTTCTTTCCTCTCGACATTCTTCTCCTCATGGCAATCTAGTTAATGACTAGTGAAATCTGTATTGTGACAATAACATATGGCTTAAATTACTCCACAATTTAAATCTACTTCACATTTACATTCATATATCAATAACAAATAGGTAAATATTACCAATAAACTAAAAAAATAAAATAAAACATATGGAATGTAGCAGGCAAGCCCAGCATCTTATGCCTCGTCAGTAATGCTAGGAAAAAAGCTGCTGTTTTCTTGTTTCAGCAACCTCCTCTTTTTCTTCAGACCCCCTTGACCTAAATCAGTTATAGGATCGCTGTCTTCATCTTCTGCTTTTCCTTCACTGTTTTCCGACTCCAGCTTGTACAAACTACTGGCAGATGGTCTTTTGGTGCTTTCCCTGCTCTTACGTGTTCTTCTAGGTTTTTCCTCTTGTGAGGCATTCATCGCTGCCAGGGCTTTACGCGTAGCCCTGCCCACACTGGTGTTGGCGTTAAATGTGGAGTCGGCACTCCCTGGGCCAGATTGGTCCAACCCTACGTTAAATGTGGTGTTGAGGCCTCCACTGGATGTCTGGCTCACCTAAAACATATCACAAATCTCGGCTTTAAAATTTTTCATTAACAACAAGAACTGAAAGAGCTATTATTACAAGAAAAAAATAATAATAAAATAAAAAAAAATAAATAAAAAAAATAATAAAAAATAAAATTATAATCATCTGCTGTATGACTTTATTTTCATTCCTCCTCATACCCCCCAATATATTGTCCACTACATCTCCAAAAACCATAACCAGCTGAAAACTGGCACAATTTACAAGTATCAGTGACAAATAAATCTTGAGAGAAAAAAAAATTAAGAAATAATTTTTTACAACAGACCAGTAATTTTTCACCATAAGCAACAGCCACTCTACACGGCTGGTATTCAGCCATGTGGTTCCCTTTACTAAGTGCACATCTGGGGTACTTACATTTTCAGAGTTGCCCTCTCTGTTCACACAGGTGTCGGGGTTACAGCCACAGCTGTCCACGCAGAGACCCAGGCTCTTCCTGCAACAGCACCGCTTGGTTTGACAGTTGCCTTTACAGGAACAAAACTTCCCTCCTCCGGGACCACTGGATGACTGGGAATAAAAGATGGCATTAAATTAGTCCATGAAAAGAACCAATAGCCCCACGATTAACATAAATAAAAGAGAAAAAAATTTTTTAAATAATTTTTCAATCTCCAGTGACTGTTACCGTCTGTTACTAAGTGATAACACTCTTCAGCACACCAACACAATTTGTTCAAAACATAAATACTATACTCTACACCCCAAAAGACTTAAGCAGCCCCATGAGATGACAGCCACAGGAGTTATTGTATATATACAGGGTTGGCGTTAATGTCTCACCAAAGGGTAAGAAATGGTTTAATATTGTGAGGTTGTATTTGGTGGTCAAACTGGCAGTTGTTCACCTCTTTGGAGGCAACCTGGTTATACTACTTCAAACAACCCCAACAGATAATTCTGACTATTAACAAAATGTACATAGACTTCAAGAAATTAATCTTTATTGTATTAATAAAGGGATACCTTGTCACTGTCCTTTGAAATTTCACTGTAAGTCTTCCTCCTCTGATTTTTTGTTTTGTAAAGGGGTGTTTTTGTCCAGTCTTTGTCATTTTTGTCATCAGCTATGAAGTCGTCAGAATCCGTGTCTGAGAAGTCGTCAAAGTCCAGCATCAATTCTGCCTCTGTGCGCTGAGACTTAGGCTTCTTCTTCTGTAAAATTATGAGATGAAAATATCATTCAAATTTTTATTATATGATAATTAGAATATTTAAAATAAATTAGTAAATGAAGTTTCACCGAAGAAATGTGAATGAAGAGTGATTTATGTTTGACTTTTATATTTTAGTTTGGACAAAAAA